GGGAAAGGTCATGTCAATGCTCTAATGCTCTTTAAGTTTTCATTATAAAAAATTAACGCCCATTTTTTCAAAATGATCATCAGACCCATACAGAGATGGGAAAGGGGAATTTCTCTCTTCTATGTTAGCTATAATAATAACTATATCTAAGTATATTTGAATGCATGCAAAAAATCTTAATTAGAAGATTTGTTACGTCTCTTGACTCGTTATAATTTACTGGCTTTGCTATATTTTGTATTTGCAGCACAACATGAAGAAGCTGCTATGTGAAGGCATCAAAAGAGATCAATAGGCATATTAGACATGTATTTTATCTGTTTTAGCTTGTAAAACATCTACTTTTAAGGGTTGTAAATCTACTTGTTGAGCCAACAGAGATGACGAAAGAGCCACGTAAAAAGTTTCAGATAGTGTTTTTTTTTTCTTTGTAGCCAAACAAGGCTGCCAAGCACTTGCAGTACTTGATTATAAATTCCTCTCAAAGTAGGCAAATACCTTACCCACCAAAAATAAAATAAGTATTGATGATTTTCATGGAAATTCAATTAATGATGTTACTTGTGGTTTTAATGGTGAAACACAAACGGTTGGAAATAACAGAAAACCAAGCATTTAATTCGAAAAAAAAGGAAGCTTCGACTCTCAGAAATGAATGTATCTTAAGCTACAGATGACTATCTTGACCTCCCAAATAAACCAGAAACTCCTTCAACGAGTTAACAATGTTACTCAAACCTCGAAATGACGATGCCTTTGTTACATAGACAATATGTTAGCACAAACCCGTTACCCACCGCAGGGTGAAGAAGAGTTGTACAAGGTTACAAATTCTCACAGATTCATTCAGTTCATTTACAACAACACATATATACAAAAATTGTCATGTGTCTGTTGCATATGCAATTTCTCCTCATCCACGAGTCAAGTCGATACCGGTGTGGGGAGTTCTCAGATCAACCTGCCGCGAACCGGGCCACACGCCGATAGTAGAGGGAGTGTAACTTTGAGTGGGCGGAGCGCTAGTTGATGTAGCTAATTTATCACTATGCCGAGGCTCAGAACTCTCATCACTCTTGGGACCAGCTACTTGCTTGTTCTTGATCTTGGCTGCATTACCATGTACAAAACTGCATACTACTACCTGTTGTAGAAAGTAAACAGTATTAGACCTTAATGTCTTCTTCATTCTATCATTAGAACCTGGGAAACAAGTTTCCTCAAGGTCCAAAATATGCGAGATAGGTGCGGAAAGAAAATACCTGGACTGGACTGGCTGCAATAAGCATTGCCACACCACCACCAACAACATGACCGTCAGGACTAGAAAGGGAAACACTCACACCCCCGGTTCGATTGCGGGGACCACCATCCTCAGCAACTAAGTAAGAACCTGACAAGCACAAGATCTGGAAACGACCCTGTAAAGTCATGGAAACAAAATAATTGGCTTCAGCTAAGCTGTTCTGAATTACATACATTTGACCCTTAAAAGTTAATTTGTTTGACAAGAATGAGAAGAATTTTCGTAGCAAACTTATTCCAAGTATAGAGAAAACTCATACTAACTGGAGCGCAGCATCATTCACCATTCAGAAAAATGGTGTATTTGACTGTGAGTACATGCTTTGCCATGAAGACATGAAAACATAAATGTTATGTCTCGTAAACTTATTTTGCGATTTACACCCTTATTTGTGGACCTCACCATCCTAAGAAATCAAAAGTTGGCTCTTCTCATATTCTACAAAAGAATATCCGTAAACTTGGACCATGCAGCAAACCAGTAAAGCATATTTATTACATAAAAGCACCACTCGCATATTTATTACAAAAAAGAACCCTTTTTGTCTTCTTTTCATGGCGAGCATAAATTACTCTCTCTCTCTCTCTCTCAATTTATTGAACCTAAAGAGATCATATCCCATGAAAACAACCAGGCACAGACCTATGGCCTCAAACATGCTAATGGTGCCACTATCGCCTCATTTTTCCATGGTTTTCAAGACAATATTTTCATTCATTTTCATTAGCCATAGAACTACAATCTTCCTTGTCACCAAACTATACCCACAAGAATACTGAAGCAAGCAAAATCCACAACCAAACGTCGTATTAATACAACCTTTACACTTTGCAGGAATGGTCCTTAATAAGCATGGAGAAAAAGGATATTTTTGGAACCACTAAAAGCACAGAAAAACAATTCAAACAAATTAAGACGGGGAAGAAATCTGTTACCTCATATGTGCAACTGACACCAGTAGATGCGGGCTGACGCAATGTTACTGAAGACACCAAACCACTGCCTGACAATATGCACAGTGCTCTTGGCCTTTGTTGTGCAAATGATAATAGTTTAGCAACAATGTCCTGCAAAGAAAAAGATAAAGAATACCTACTTAGGCGTGAAAAAGGTATAAAACCGTGCAGATTGAGCAATAAATCACCACTAGGAATGGTAATCTTTAACCCATATGAGAGTGTAAATTTTTCAACTGAATAAAAATGGGATCTTTACAAGCTTCTGACAAGAGAGAAAAACAATATGCTTTTGCCAAAGCATTATTTTATGTCCCTAAACACCATCAGCCAAGAAAAGAAACTATTGCTATCAATGTTGAAACAAACACTATTAGCAATCACAAATTTCTACCAAGTTATCAATCTGCAGCATTGAAATGAAGCAGCCAGGCATTCTAAAAAGTACATAGCTACAAGTGTGTGTGTGTATATATATATAAAACGGACTCATGTATTGAACCCTCATAAGGAACTTGGTGATCCCAATTTTCATTTCACATATAAGTGAGTGCAATGCGTCTGTGCATCATAGTTTATGTCGAACCGTAAGGACATGGCGTACCTCTCCAACCCCGACGGTGATAACATGTGGTGCAAAAGCAATTCCCGCCGAGCTGTTCATCCATTCACCTGTCAAGCAACTTGTCATAAGAAAGAACATATCGGCAGCCCTCATCATCACACACTCAAAAGCAAGTAATCATGAGATCAACCACAGCAAGCCATTTGGCCTTTTAGAGCTTACTCGAAATCATCAGAGTTACACCGCAAATGCACTTTCTAACATTAATACACAAGTGAAATGAAATTCAGAAATTCAAAACTAAATTATTGATCTTATACTACGAAGTAAACAATCTAAGCTAGATCATTAAGCAATACAAATTGGTTATTAAGCACAAAAACACAAGAAGCACCACATATAAGCTTAGATCACGCTAAAGATATCAGCAAAAAACAAAGACAACAAAAAAGTCCACATCAAAATAATTTACCAAGATTAGCTAATTGCTGTTTCCTGCCAGTCCCCGGCGGCCGGCCTCTGGCCCGCTTTGGGGTGGGCGTGGTGGAGCCCGGCGTGAGGCTTTGAGAGGCAGACATTGAAGAGAGTCTCAAAGAGACAGGCCCATCAGGGCGGTACTTTCTCGGCCGCCCTCTCTTCTTCTTGACAGGCTGCTCACTCGAGGGAACACCAGGGGGGGACACGGCCATTCTCACGCCGCCGTGAGGAAAACCCATGGCAGGGCGGGAAGGCGGCGGAGGAGGCTCCACCGAGAATGAGGGCCCCACAGAGGTTCCCCTGATATTGGGTTGGGTTGGGATGCCAGTGTTTGACAAGGGTCTGAACCCAGATGGCGTGTGAAGACCTGTGGGGGGTTGTGATCCAGACCCAGACCCACCAAGTCCTCCTCTATGAATGTAGTATGAAGCTGACCCACCAGACAATGCCATGGCTTCTCTCCCATCCATGCATTTAGTGAGAGATTGGTCACAGAAAAAAGAACAAAAAAGAAAAAAGGAAAGAAAGAAAGCTCTAAACTTTTAACTACCCAATTGACTAAAGTTTCAGTCTTTAAAAAGAACACGCTTCCAAGTTTGAATTTTTACTTAACTCTATCCAAAATTTAAATTTTTAACTACTACCACCAAGAGAGAAAGGAAAAAAAAAATCTATGAACTTTGGAAATCTGATCCTATAAATTAGGCGTAACAAAATCTCTTTAACCCTAGAAACCGAAGCACAAGAGCCTGCTGAATTCACAGGCAAAAGGGTTTTACAAGGGTTTTGGTTTCAGTTGCGAAAAAAAAAAAAAAAACCAAAAATCTGAGAAACCCCAACAAAATTTTTGATCTTTACCGAGAGAATCAACCAAGGAACTGAAGCTTCACACGCCAAAAAACCCAGAAGAAGAACTCAAAGAAAGTGGTGAGAATAAATGTGGAAAGATCAGAAGCTTCAAAGAGGTAGAGAAAAGTAAGAACCACAGGCTGGCAGGTCTTGAATCATACCTCAAACACAAGGAGAAAAACAAAACCCTAGATTTGAAATCTAGGGTTTTGACAGGGAAGAGGAAAAAAATGCAGGAGGTGGAAAGGAAGGAGAAAGGAAAAAAAGAAAGCGAGGAAAAGACAACGAAAGAGGGAGAGAGAGAGAGAGAGAGAGAGAGAGGAGAAGAGGGCTAGGGAGGAAAATGAATTGAAAATTTGAGCTTTTGAATTAAAGTTAGTGTGAGAGTGTGTGTGTCTGTGCAAGTGTGTGTGTATGTGAACTGTGAGCTACTATCTAGGCAAAAACACTTTTTTTAATTATTTGGAGAATTTCTAGTAGGATTGGCATTAAAAAAAAAAAAAAAGGAATTTCGAGTAGGGTAAGAAGACAAAACTGATTGATACGGATCCTTTTTAACCGTCAGATTATTTTCAGTCTAGATTTTTTTTTACAGTTTAAATTATAATTTAGTTTTTTTATTATAATATTTTTATATATATATTTAAATTTCAACTCAAATTTTCTATTCAAACTTATAAAAAGAATGGACTCTTATTTATTTATTTAAATTATAAAATTTGAGAGGTGATGAATCTAATCCGTTTAATGTGTAAATTTAAGCGGTGTATAAATATGAATTTGTGTTTTGTATTGAAAAATTCCAAAGAAGAAAAGATTTTGCATGCAAAATGAGTTCGAATTACGGAAAATGATGGGAGAATGAATTCGAAAGTTGTCATTTAAGGAGACGTTTGGTTAATGGATTAGAATCATGTGATTAAAATCATTTTTGTGAGAAAAAATACTGTAGCGAATCATGAATTATGATTCAAATCATGGTTTGAATCCTCCAACCAAACGTTCTCAAATCTTTTACCATCTGAATTGTTTCTAGATTTTTTATCACTCAAATACGCATTCAAACTAAACCTGTCATACAAATCATTTTAAATAAATTTAAACCCATAAAACAAAGAATACTCATATTATTTCGAATTGTTTATATTTTAGTTAATATAATTCCGACGTAATTTGAGGATTCAAAAATCTATGTATACTTATTATTATTATTACTATTACTGCTTCTTTTTGTTTTTCTTTATTGGTCTAAGTATCTGACTATAAGAAAGGAAAGACTAATTGCCATTGGCGGGACAGGCTGTGGCCTACCAGAGTACCAGCCTTCATGTCCTTATCAGATTACCAATTTCTATTTTCTTTCTCAAGACCTGTGAGAAGCCCACTTGTTCTTTACCCCTCTTCATTTCTTCTCTCTCCCTAACAATATTTCTGGCTGGTTTTGAGCTTGCAATTGCTATTCTGATGTACTCAGAGTTTGGAAAGGGAAAAAAGGTTTTCCTTTCCTTTTTCTTCTTAGCTGAAAGGGATATTGAGTTTTATAGGGTTGGGGGGTCCTGAGTAGTCAAGGAAGAAAAAAACAAGATTCAATTTTTTAAAATATATATATATTTATATGTGAAGAAAAAGTAATTACAAGTGCACATTTATTATGCATATTTGTGAATATAATATAGCTTTACTATTATTTGTTTTTTTGTCTGCATTGTTGTCTTTTTTTAGTTAAGAATACCGTGAAAAGATAAAAATGAAAGGTTAACGGATGTGATGTCTTGTTTTGCTTTTGGTCTGAAAAATCCATGTGATGGCTACATGGGAAGTTTGCTCAGCGAAGAAAATGACACAAGGTCTTAATAGTAACGTGAAAGCTTTTAGAAACGGTGTCGTTTTGTGATGCAATTGCCTTGAAATCAAGCATGAGATTCAATAATGTATTTTTCATGCAAATGGCATAGGAAAACTCTTTTTTATCCCGACGAGAATTTATCTCTATAGACACAAATCCGTGGGTCTGATATGATAGGATCCACGTAAAATTTATAAATGGGGTCTATTTTTGTGTTTGATGAGGATAAATTCTTATCGAAATAAGTACGGTATAAGATGCTTTATCAAATAAATAAAATAAAATAAAATAAAATAAAAATAATTTTGTCACGGTCAATGCATCACTGGCCTGGTCAAGGAGTTTCTGTTCATTATTCAGTCTTGAGAGTTGTACATTTAATGCTTGAAAATGTTATCAGACAGAAGAGTAACACAAGATTGGGCCTACATTTGCACTTTTATTGTCACGCATTGCCGTACACAAAGATGCACATATAATATACTTGACTTGAAGGATCCAAAATGTTCAATTATCAATCCAAAGATTATTTGTTCAAAAAAAAAAAAAGATTCCTAAGATTATTTGTTGCCCACTACATTTAAAGAAAAAAATTAAGAAATAAACTTAATCTCAAAAATAATACCAGCTATCAAGCTCTCAAACATGTGGTTTTGATTTTTGTTACTGCCTTATTGAGCATAGGAAAATAATACATTTTGAAAGATTTACAAAATATTAAAAAAAAAATCCAAGAAAGGGTGTTTCACTTCCACGTGATCTCATGTCAACAACGTACGTTTTTTTACCGTTAATTCTAGTCATAATTATATACAAATAAATAAATATACAGAATAAATATTTTTTAATACATATTTGATTAAAAAAACATATCACAACTAGTGGTGCAGGGACGAAATCTGCTTGAAAAAGAAGGAAAAAAAAAAAATTTGAATTGTCCACTTTGAGCCGCAATTCAAAAAGTCTGTTCATATTGATTCAATCGGTGCTCTCGTATGTCGTTTGTCGGGACGCCAGCAGGGTTATGCCCACCACCTACATGGGCCTAACCGGCCCAATCTAATGGACAATTTGACATGGGCCAGATAAGTGTTGTGAGCTGAGATTTTGAGTCTTGAGATTAGACCAACATTGCTTTTGGGTCAACTTGAGCTTGTCATATACCACATAGAAATAGTAAAAAATAAGTTAATATGAAAAGTTTAAGAAAGTAAATAGGTTAATTTTTAGTTATAGAAATTAATAGGTCATAACTTGTCAAGTTATGGTTCATAACTAGATAAGTTATGAATAAACTTGTCAAGTTATGATTCATAATAGCCAGACAAGTTATGGACAATAACTTGTCAAGTTATGGTTCTAGCTATGGACGAAAACAGTAATTTGACCTATTTATTAACTTATGTAAACTGTTGGCCTATTAATTTTAATTCATCTCAAATCTTGACCTATTTCTCTCTTTCTCCCTATAGCACAACGAAACATATGGACAATTAACAGAAAAGGAAGTGGAAAGTTTTCTTTTAACACTAAAAACACAAGATAGCTGCAGTAATCTGGCGGATTTCCTGGCAATAGAAAATGAATAGAAAGATTATGCCTAATATGATACGAGGAAAGAATTCTAATTCTATTTGTGAGTGGCACAATCTGCGAGCGCGTGATCTGAATAGCTCATTTCTACGAGATCCGCTCACAAGTGCATTAATGATGTTGTCAAGTTTTTAATCATTAATCATTAACATTGCGAACGGGACAAAGATTACAAGATAACAAGGCCTATAGCTATAATAGCTTATAGCTTATGGACTTTTCACACGTACGATTCAAAACACACAAAACAAAACAAGGACACACACGCTGCTAAGGAAAAAAAAAATAGCAGAAATAGTGAACACATTTCATTTAAAAAAAAAAAAAAAAAAAAAAAAAAAAAAAAAAAAAAAAACCAATATAAAGATCACATTTAATTTTCTTAATATAAATGGCAACAGTTTTAGTGGGTTGAACCAACAGAGGTGGATGAAAGCGATTTACATGTTTCACGTTATCAAGTGTGTATTCTGATCCATGTGATCTTGTTGCTATATAACTAGTTCAAGGGCTAGGTTCGGAATGTCCTGTACTACCAGTGAAATGTACAGAACCAGCCTTGCAACCAACACACTCAGAGGCCTTGGCAAAGTGTTGTTTTTTTTTTTTATTAGAATTTTTCTTTCATTATGGTCTTATCCTATTCCTTCTTTATTGTAATGTTTTTTTTTATGATCTTCCATAAATGATATTACTTATTGCTTTTTTTTTTATATATTTTTCACCATGGTTTGATCATTATTTTAGTAAAAATATTTATTCTTTCTGTACATATTTTCGTGGGTTTTGAGATTTCAATGGCTGCCGGAGTCGTTTTTAGGTTTAGGGTTTTTGACTTTTTTTTGTCGTGGTTGTAGAGTTTTTGGATGTTCGCCCAAGTCCTCGTGGTTCCATCATTGGGTTGGAAGTTTTGATTCAGTGGCACGGGCTGCCTGCCCATGATGCAACTATTGGTTTCCGAAACGATTTCAGATGCGGAAGCATGTATTTAGGAGATCGTGTATAATAAAAATATTCATAAAACTTTGAGATGGTCTATAGATTACATTAATTTATGCATGAATAAATTAATCAAATTAATTTATTTACCTAGCGAACGATTATGTCAATATATTGTAGCTCAACTAAATTACAATCAATTGATCTAGATAATGTTAAAGATATCAACTCAAATCTTAACTTCAACTAATGTGGCAATTGTGAGTTGTCATTTTTACATTGGAGGTGTTTAAAATATTGTCATGTAATTAATCATAAATGATTGCATTTACCAATAAAAATATGACAATTCACGTGCCACATTCGACTATGATTATTTTTATTATAGTATATCTGTAATTATTTTTATTTTCTATTATGTTTTCCTGGAAAAAAAAGAAGAAAAATAGTTTCGAGTCCTAAAACGAAAAACTTATAAATATATAGTTTTTTATTAAAAGAAAAAAAAACACACACACACACACACACAACATTCATTGTGTTCCACATTCGACTAGGATTATATTCTGTTTCCATGATCACGACCACAAATTAACATAAAAGAAAAGAAAAGATGACAAAATATTTATCAAAAAGTTGGCTGAAGCCACAAAAGTGTAGGAGGATAAATATTTCTACATTCATCTCCGAAGCATTGAAATTGGCTGATCCCTTCATATTTCGATTCAAAATTACCGTCGTCTGCATTTGTAGAGGTATAAATGTTGCACTTTCTGGTCACACCATCTATGAAGTAAATGCAATTAGCCCTACATCCTTCAAAGTCTGAGGCCTTGACACAAAAGGAAGAAGATTGATAACCCAAAAACAAAGCTCTATCTCCCAAGTTCTTCACTTTTACAAACGTTCCATCTCCGATATTCACCTCGTAAACTTCGAATCCAATCGTTTCGCGACACCGAGCGCTGACGCGTACGTGGCCTGTCAAGTCTCGCACGATCAAAAGAGATTCTTTCGATTCCACTAGGCATGTCTCGCAAACTGGTTTGATCAAAAACATGACCTCCTTGACTACTACAGTATTGAAATCATCTTGATCAATATTCAAGACCAGAACTCTACTCCGAGTATCCACCGCGTAGAATCGGCCCTTATGATAAGCTACGTCGGATACGAGAATAGACTCATCCGTCATAAGCGTCCACGAAGAGTTTCCCGGTTTCCAAAGCGCCAAATGACCAGCTACTTTAAGCCATTGATGGAAGATAACAATGACTATATAGTCCGAATTAGTCTCAGATGGGCTCGCCGACAGCGCAAACCTATTAACGTAGACGAAAGATTGTCTCGGAAGTCTGATCTGAGCCTGCGACAGAGGGTGAAAAAGGCTCATCGCGCCTTCACGTGGTGAGTCGTCTATGGACATTATCCATCCGGAGGAAGAATATATTAACTTTTGGTTGTAAACTTCACGAGGATGTGGAAGCTGATCAAATGTTTTCTCGCTCGAGAGGCTGTGAAATTTGGCGAGAGGTTTTACGTCGCTTGAGAAAAGCATGAGCCACGGAATTTGTTGCCGTGAATAGTCGAAATTCTCTTTCGTCGCCGCCGGTCTCCACGAAGTACAGACTGCGCCGAAAGCGACCAAGTCTTCGAAAGAAAGTCGTTTCGCGATGGACAAAAGAATATCTAATGGCAGTCCGGACCAGTCTGCCATGAGCTAGGGATTTCAAGAATCAAGGTATAGTAATTAGGGTTGTGAGGCACTATGCTTATATAAGAACAAAATCCTAAACCTTATACAAGTGAGTTTTCTTATACATTCGAATTTTGAATGAGTGTCGTTTCAAAAAAAAAAAAAAGTGCATGATTTTTTTATTTATCTTGTGATTCGGGTGAATAATTCAATTTATTTGAAATGATAAATTTTTCATCAATTAGAGTTTTAGTATTATCTTTTATTTTGCTCCTATTCTCAATTTTCATATAGTACGTAAAACTTATCCTTTAAGCAAATTAAAAAACTTTTTTAAAAAAAAAAAAAAAAAAAAAAAAAAAAAAAAAAAAAGATATTAAAAAAACTAAATTAAGTACAGATATGCTTTCTTTTCAAGACATTAAAATTAAGTACAGTACAGGTATGCTTTTCTTTTCTTTTCTTTTCTTTTTTTGAGAAAAAAAAAAAGGAACGCTCCTTCTTTCACCAAAACTTAATTATAGTTCCAATTTTCCTATTTCTTTTTCCTGTTTCTACTCTATTTTGAGAGAGAGAGAGAGAGAAAAAAAAAAAAGGAATCCTTCAAAAAAAAAAAAAAAAAGAGCGAGAGATTGTTTCCTAAAACGTCGAATAAGTAAGACAAAGAAAAGCACAATGTTCATTGTCTTCCACATACGAAATTAAAATTAAGTACATATAGGGCCGGTAACATGGGTCACCACTCGAAAATGACATGACTTTTGTGGGTTAGGATTGAGAAAAAAAATGTTCAGATCAAAATTGAGTCGACTAAAAGTTGACATGAAAAACACTGGTCAATTTCGGGTTGAACCCGCCTAACCTAAACACAACACGAAACTCATATAAAATTAATTTTTTTTTAATTTCATTACATATTTTAAATTTTATTATGAACATGTGATGCCATGATAGTTATATTCAAAATTTTATATTATTATTTGCTTAATTTTGATGGATGTTATTGTATTTTAGTGTGTTATGAATTTTAAGTTTCTAATATGTAAATAACTAAGAAAAAGTATATAATTTTCGTGTCAATTTCGGGTTCACGGGTCAATTTCGTGTCACGAGTCATTTTCGTATCATGGGTCATTTTTGTGTCATGTCCTGTCAACCCATAAAGTGTTCGTGTCGTATTCGTGTTGTGATTTTTAAAAAATTTCGTGTCACATGTCGTGTTCGGGTTGATTATAAATTTAGAAAAAAATGATCAAAACACGACATAGAACACGAATTGCCACTCCTAAGTACATACATACTTTTCTTTTCTTTTCTTTTCTCTTTTTGTTTGAGAAAAAAAAAAGGGAACGCTTTCCTTCTTTCACCAAAACTTAAATATAGTTCCAGTTTTCCTATTTCTTTTTTCCTGTTTCTACTCAATTTTGAGAGAGAGAGAGAGAGATTGTTTCCTAAAACGTCGAATAAGTAAAACAAAGAAAAGCACAATGTTCATTGTCTTCCACATACGACTAGGATTAAATTCTGTTTCTATGAACACCACCACAAATTAACATAATACAAAATCAAAGATAATAAAGTACTGTGATTCTTTTTTTTTTTTTTAACTACTACTACTAACATTTATCAAAAAGTTGGCTGAACCCACAAAAGTGTATGAAGACGATTTCTACACTCATGATCTCCAAAGCAGTACTGTTCGATGATCCCTTCATATTTCAAATGAAAAATTCTCTCGTGCGTATTTGTCACAGCATAAATGTTGCACATTCTGGTCTCGCCATCTGTAAAGTATATCCAATTAGCCTTACATCCATTAAAGTCCGAGGCCTTGACCGAAAACGAAGAAGAGTTATAACCTAAAAACAAAGCTCTATCTCCCAGGTTCTTAACAAACGTTCCGTCTCTAATATTCACCTCGTAAACTGCGAATCCAAACGTTTTGCCGCATCTCCAAAAATCTTAGTTTAGGGATGTGAAGAAGCGATACCGCCTTGAGTACTGCCATATCATCTTGACCATCGATATTCAAAACAAGTACTCGACAATGACTATCCACCGCGTAGAATCGGCCCTTGTGATAAGTTATATCGTATACGAGAATATACCCGTCTGTCGTAGTCGTTCAGGTCGAATCTCCCGGTCTCCAAAACGCCAAATGACCGGCTTTTCTATGCCGTGGATGAAAGATAGCCATGATTACATATTCCGAAGTTTGAGATGGGCTCGCGGATAGCGCGAACTTGTTAAAATAGAACAACGTTTGGTTCGGTATAGTTTGATATGAGCGTGCGATAGAGGATGAAAAAGGCTGAATGAATAGTCTGTTGTCATTATCCATCCGGAGGAAGAATACATCAACTTTTCATTGTAAGCTTCACGAGGATGGGGAAGCTTATATGTTTTCTTCTTGGAAAGGCTATAAACTTCGGCGAAAGATTCTACGTCGCTTCAGAAAAGCATAAGCCATGGAATTTGTTGTTGTGAATAGTCGAAATTCTCTTTCGTCGCCGCCAATCTCCATGACGTACAGACTGCGCCGAAAGCGTCCAAGTCTTCAAAAGAAAAGAGCCGCTTTGCGATGGAGTTGAGAACGTCTAAAGGCAGTGAAGACTGAAGACCAGTCGGCCATGACGGCTTCAAGAATTAAGGTTGTGAGGTTCTGTGCTTATTATGCTTATTCTAATTAGGGCAAAAACTCTAGGAGATGTTTGTTTCTTGTATTCGTTCTTGATTTTGAATAATAATTCATGGTTCTTTACAGTGTTTTTCTCTCACGAAAAATACGTGTAAAATGAGAATGGTTCTGAATCATGATTCTAAATCTATGAACCAAATGTCCACTAAACCTTAAATAATTGAGGGTATTGTATCTTCAAAATTTTTTGAATGACGGTTGCTTCCAAAAAGAAAATATATGAATGAAGATGAATGAATGATTTTATTTATTTTGTGATTTGGATGACGACTTCAAAATTATTCAAAGGTTTTTAATAGGATACTTTTTTCATTAATTAGATCATTATTAGTATTATCTTTTCGCCAGTCAAATTTTTCATAAACTTTATTCTCAAAACAAAACTTCCATAAAATTATTGTTCAAATTTCTCATACCTATTATCTGCAACATTCATAATTATGAGCAAAAAGGTGCAACTTGCCCAATATTTTTCTGACTTTAATTTATTTGGTTTTTATCTTTCAACTAGAAAACTACCTCGATATGAAGTAAATGTGTAACGATTTATCTTGTTATTAATATATATCTTTCTATACGACTTTAATTTTTTTAATTAATTTCATGTTTTTCCAATTAAATAGGTACTTTGCTTATTATAATATAGAGCGTATCATGTCGTCGGGCCAAGCACGGTCCATTATTGATCTTCATGCCGTGACAGCCTACAAATCCCTATCTATTATCCTGACAAAACCCATTAGCCCAAGCTATTATGGACGTGTTACTGTGAGCTTATTAAAAGCTACTTATGGCTTCTTAAGTTGGGTTTTTAGTACATTTACCACCCTAAATTTGTGGTGGCCTAACAAATTACCCTTGAAATTTTTAATTTTGATAAATTGCTCCTCTTAATTTGTAAAATTGTTGTAATATATCTCATTTTGATGACGATTGTGTTACATTAATATCAAAAAAGCACGTTCAGGAAAAATTTCCAACATTCCAAATTAAAATGTAACACAAATATTTTAATATCTCAACTTTTAATCCTTTAAATCTAATAAAAAATTTGAGCAAATTTAGTTAAATGGTGGCACATTGCAAAAAAATTTCAAGTTCGGGGGGTAGCTTGGCAAAATTAAAAGTTTAGGAAGCAATTTGATAAACCATGACAAGTTCAGGGGCAATTATACCAAAAACCCTCCTAAGTTCAAAAGATGCTTCTAGAAGTGTTTGGATGGTCTGTCAAAAGTGTTTTAACTTTTTAAAAGAGCTTCCAGTCAAAGTTAAAAAAATGTAACTTCTAGAAAAATACTTCTGAATAGACTTTAAAACTTGTACCATAGTTTAACTAAGGCATTATAAATTTAATTCTAACAATTTTATTGCTTCTTAGAAAAATTAAAAATCATTTTGAGCCATTAAGCTCTTGGTTCCAAACACTTACTAAAAAGTCACAACTTTTGCTTCTCTTCATTTATTGGCTAAAAGTAAAAGCAAAAACTCTGCCCAACAGATCCTATGTATTGGTCATCTCAGTCCACGTGCTAATCATGGAATCCCATTTAAGCCCATGTTAATCTGTGAAATTAATTGCCAAATTTTTAATATGAGCTTTTACTATTTTTTTAAAGGAACAATTTTTATTTTACAAGAAAATGATTCAAATACATAAAAGAGAAAAGTAGTATACTAATAGGTAAGTTAGCATATACACAAAAATTTTAGTTTCAATTCAAAATTTTTCAATTCATTTATAGCAATTAGAAAGAATGGAAGTCTAATAATGAAGGAAAGGAGATGGCTAAAGATTATATAAGATAATAGAGTCTGCATATTTAACCCAAAAAAAAAAAAAGATAATAAATCATTCATTAGTAATGTTGCATGCAAACGACGTATATCCGTAGAAGAATAGAGTTCGTCGAGTAATTTCAAGCGAAAGATACCAGAGTCATCATCTCTTATATGCTGAAAATTTTCATCCATTCACGCGAAGAATCCGCGACATAAATGCGATTAGCCTCGCATCCACTAAAGTCAGAGGCCTTGACAGAAAAAGAAGAAGATTTCTGACCCAAGAACAAAGCCCTATCGCCCAAGCTCTTAACCCTAGCCATTGTTCCATCGCTAAGATTCACCTGACAAAACGGAATTGCACGGCCATTTTCGCGAGAGTTGAACGAGCAAAAGAGATTCTCCCGATTCCACTAGGTATTTGTAAACCTCCAAAATATGGTTTACATTGTTCCATGTCTCCTGAGATGTTCTGTGCCACTACCGAGACCTGCATCTTGTTGATGTTTGCTTGTAAAGGATCATGATCATCATGATTATCTTTAATATTCAAAGCTAGAACTCTGCACTTGTTATCCACCGCATAGAATCGGACCTTTTAATAAGCTACATCTTCAAATAAAACGCTTTCTGTTGCCATGATTCTCGTCCATGTTGATTTTCCCCGTTTCCAAAACTCTATATTGTAAACACCACCGTCTGAAACATATATACAAATATATATATATATATATGCAAAATTTCAACAGGTGAAGCGATTTTTTTTTTTATTAATGGGATGGATTGGAATTAATTATCCGTGATCAAGATTAAGAAACATTTTTTAATTAATAAATAACATTTATTGTTGAAGGAACAAGGAAGTAAATCAACATCTGTGTGTTAGATGGTCTCGAGTGTTTTAGGAAACATTTGCTTGCTTAGTGGAAACTTTTATAAATTTGAATTACAAATCTCTCCCTTTTCTTTTATTTTTTCTTTTTTCTTTTTTGGAATTCATATTTCATACTTATAAACTTTTAACATTTATTAGCAAATATATATATATATATATATTTATGCAACTTGCCTATTAACATTTTTTTTCTCGACTTTATTTCTCAAATAAAATGATATTAAATTCGAATTTCGAAACTAGAAACTGAATACTCGTTGGTAATATTTAATATATACGAACGGCATATATAAACTCAGAAATTAGAGTTGATATTAATGCTGGGGATGAATTTATATGTAATACGTAGTTCCGTTATCTGATTTAAAGTCAAATTAATTATAAATTTCATTTGTAGAAAAAGAAACTATCAAATATTTTTTTCTTTGTCTGAAAGTGTGTGTGTGTGTGTGTTTACCCCCCCCAAAAAAAAAGTTTCTATTTTAAAATATTATTACTGCAATAGAATTAGAATTCTCAGAGTAAAATTATGAGAAGACCAAGCAAATTACGCATGTGGCGTAAAAAAGTTTGAATAACTTACTCGTTTTCTTTTTGGTAAATATATAAATATATATATATATAAAGAGTAAGTTTCTTGATGCAGGCCATATTAATTATTAAACGGATCAAGGCATAGAAAAATTTTAATTATTCTAAAATAAAGGTCAAATTTTATTTCAATCAAATATAAGGTCCGTTCATTTCACCGATCCGAGTTTAAAATTTAAGTTTTGCTACAATAAAAAACCTTCAGAAATACTCACATCTAACATTTTTATTACAGTAAAAAACTCTCACATAAAGTCATATCTCAACTCGAATTAAAAACTTGAATCAGCAAACTAAACGGCCCTAAGTTACTTTCATGTTTTTGTTTTTTATACTCCATCCCAAGGAAGAGTAAATTCTTTCTGCTCTATACACTTCTTGAAGCTGTGAGATTCGGTAGATTTTTCGCTTCGAGAGTCTGTAAAACTTGCATATTCGGGTACGTGATCTGCAATTCCTCTGGCAGAACATCAGTCATGGAAGTTGTTGATGTGAATTTAGCATTGAAAATCTCCTTGGAGACGGATGATCTCCATGAGGAACAAACCGAACGGAGAGCAAGAAAGTCCTCGAAAATATAATTAGAATGTCTCTGGGCAGTTTAGACCAGTCGGACACATGCTGGATATGGCAGAACTGTGGTTGAAAGGGAAGGTCTTGGGATTCCCAATAAGTAAATAAATAAATAAAATAAGTTCTAGCGAGATTAGAGGGCACAAATAAACTCAACCTGCGAATTGATTCAAGTTGGGATTTTGACTTTTGAGTCGAATTAAGGAAGTTGATTTTTAATAAGACTTTATTTGCTGCCTTATTATAATTTATTTGGTTTTGAATCGGTGCTGAGTGCTTAAGTCTCGTTCGCTTTGTGAATTTAAATTTTTAATTTAAATTGAGATGTGATATTTTTTGAGAGTTTTTAACTGTAACAGAAAAAGTTAGATGTGACATTTTTTAAAAGTTTTTAACTGTAAAAATCTATAACTGAAAACTCAAATCGGTAAAATGAACGATACTTTATTAATTTAAGTGTTCATGACACTCTATTTTTTTTAAGGGAAAAAAAAAAAAGCTCTCTTTCAACTTATTCCCACTCTCTCCGATTACTTTTCTTTTTCTTTTTCTTAAAAATAGCTCTTAAATATGTGTGTGCATTGTTTAGGTCAAAATTAGAAGAGCTCTTTTTTCATCGTTTAGTTTTTTTTTTTTTTTTAATTGGAAAAAGTTAATACACTAAAGTGCTTTGAAACCTACATATGTGTGTGTATTTAAATAAATAAATAAATATATATATATATATATATATACACACACACACACACACACACATTGGAGATATGATTTACAAAGCCAACAATAGTAAATCAAATAGTAATTCTCAAAAGAAAGGGGGAAAATGTGTAACAGAGAGGCGCACGTCTAAGAGATGCAAGCATCTATCAGCTGGAGCCTAAACTAATTTACACGCTCTTAATACCTAATTATCAAGTTAATCGAAGGTTTTTTTTTTTTTTCAGTAGTCAAGTTAATCAAAGTTGTTATACTCTTTATGTAGAAGGGTATAACTAATGAAATATGAGCATAAATAAGGACAATAACAACTCTTGATTAAAATCCCAAACGGGAATATTTATAGCATTGCAAAGTTTATAACATAATTTTTTTTTTCTTTTTTGGCTGAGGTGGGATAAGAAGAGGAAACCAAGCGACTTAGCATGGATCATAAAAATCGCATTCATCCACTTTTCCTGCCAAAACGTCAATTAAGTCTTTATTATAAATCTGTATATACATGGTTCCATCATATTTCTGCATGCTTGTCGGAATCCGAAATGTGACGCGAAATTTGAGCTAAGAGAACACTTTGAGATCCCATATTAGTCAAGCAAATTACTAGCCCTGCAAATTGCTAAGCTTTGTTATCCTGCTGATTCTTCGAACTTGATATCTAGTTGGAAATAACCAAAGGAAAACTGAAGCATCACATGACTTATCAAGGAATTGACGTAAAACATTGCGGGTGCAAGACTAATATTTCTCTTTTTTTGCATATAACAAAAAGCTTACACCCATTTGGAGGCATTTTTCATTTACTGAGCTTCCTGTTCACATAATCCAGGTATTCCTGCCACAAGTACAACAAATCATTCAGTGGAGTATACTCAAAACTCACCTATGCTATACCTGAAAGCTTCTCGTTACGGTTCTTAATGATTGTTGACTAGGATATTTAAATAGACAATAACCCTTTCTCTATATTTCTTTTTGAAAACACAGCTACAACTTAAACGCTTTAATCAAATAGCATGGAGTACATGTACAGAAAGAACAGAGTAACACCTGCAGAATGCCAACAGCAGCAAACTTGTCGACAATAGTCTTCGACTGAACCGGATTCAGATTCAAAGGTTGTAACAGCAATTCTACATTCTGCAAACAATTCAATGATATTTTCGGCTCAAAAACCACTTGAAGTGATTTAATTTGTATGTGTAGTCATTTAAAGCTACTAGCCAAAATCAATCACAGAATTTCCAACCTTTGATGTAAAGCGCTCGTCCCAGTAGGTATATCTTACACCTTGAAGTTTGTCTGTTTTGTAAAGTTCATCTACAAAGAGCTTCACCATCATAGCCTAAAAAACCAAAGCAAATCAAAACAACCGTCATAAAAGAGAACAAAGCGCTGGTACTCTCAAATCACTAATGATATGAAGGCTCACGTTATCATTAGTCCGTTGTCTGTCAAAAGGAAGTCCTACAACAAAGCCCTCCAAAGAAAGTTCAGATATCTAATTAACAGGAAAAAGCAGAACCACATATAACAGCCTCAGTTAATAATCAATCCTCAGTAGTGCAAAAATTCACAAAAAAAACAGTAACAAAGAAAGCAAAACTAACCAAAGTCTGAAAATCATCAGCCATCACCTCAATGTTGGATTTCTTCCTTAGTAAAACACTGAAAAGCGCTACGAAACTTTAGTGAAGACAGAAGTGTAACACATAAACAAAATAAAACCCACTTATAACAAGCTCAAGAGTCAAATCATAGTGGCAGAAAAATCTTACAACATACAGAACAGAACCACTCGAGCAAACTAACCAGACTCTGAAAATCATGTCATTAATTTGGGCAAATTGCACCCTGCACTTGTCGTCATTTGTATGTTGAACCCCAGACATTTAAATTTGGTATTTAGGACCCTAAATTTTACAACCCTTGACAATGTTATCCAACCAATAAAAAGCGTCAATTAATAGATACCAATAGGATCCAAAATGTCTAGAGGGTGCATTTGTGTAAAAATCTTGGGCAATTGATGTCCGTTAGCTATTGGACCATTTCTTAAATTTAGAGTCCTATTTGTCGAAAATTGAAAGTTAAGGGTCCAAATTGCCAACCACTGTATTTCAGGCCGCACCAATGCAATTAATTCTTAAATAAATACTGATCTGTTCCTAGATATCTAACAACACAGAAAACTAAACCTACTAATAACAGAAAACCAAACCCTAGGATGAGAAATCTAATAAAACCCAGAACAGAACCACTCAAAACTAATAGTAAGAAGGAAAATAACACTGAAGCATTGAGAAATTTCGAGTCTAGAACTTCAAATACTGATCCTTTTCGAGGCATAGTTTAGAATTTTGACTATTTCATTTTACCTTAAAGGCGAAGCAACCTTGTTGTTGATGTCGGAAACGGCCAAGCCAATGTACTTACTGCCAACGTCGAGGCCGAGCAAACGACCACGTTCGAAGCCGTCCGTCTTGAGCAAGTCTTGAAACAACCGCAACGGATTCACGTACCTCATTTATGGCGGATGATTAAGCTACTCAACAAAAATCAAGTTCAGAATTTTTAGGTTTAAATAAATGGAATTCAGTGAAGAAAAATGGAGAGACGAGGAGAGAAGTTAATAAAACAGAGAGAGAGAGAGAGAGAGAGAGAGAGAGAGAGAGAGAGAGATGGCCTGAAACGGGTCGGACGTGGACAGAGTGGGGAGGAAGGAGGAGATGAAGTAGTGGGCCGCTGAATGTGGCCAGACATATGGACTTGTGGGCTTGAATGTATTGCTCAAATGGGCTTAGGCGGGGTCCACTTTCAATGCCAATTTTTATTGACAATGGATTGTGACGCTTTAAATATTAATTTTGACAGAATATTTCCTGAAAAATTTCTAATAGCGTTAGTCTCTAACACTAAAATTTAATGAATAATTTTTAAAATTTAACATTCATAATCACATCTATATCTCATAATAACTAAATTTTTCATAAATAGTTAGAATAAGTATAGAATATTCTTGTTTTTAATTGAGTTTCAATTGTAATTAAAAGAATATTTTATACATAATGTAACTCTTTTTTTTTTTAAAAGAACATAATGTAACCGTTTATGTAAATTTCAAATTATTACGGGATAAATAAATGACCACATATGTTAAACTTTTAGAAATTATTCATCAATTTTAATATTGCAGACAAACAGTCAACAAATAACAGTGTCAATATGCTGAGAATTTGGAGACCAATAACGTCCCCCTCTAGTTTATGTTTTATTTTCCCTTTTCACATTGAGCGCTCAAGTGACCGTTAAAAACATAAAAATAACAAACAAACAAAAAAGAAGTTAAATTAGTCTGACAATAATTTCCATATAAAGACATGAAAATTGACGGAGCAATGAGCATTGATAATTGCCTATAACAACCCAACAAGAGGAAATTATTGGTTGACCACCTTAATCATATACAGATGCTAATTTGTCCAGAAGCAATTGGATCCATGCTGAACCCCACAGCATTTTTTTTTTTTTTTTGGATAAAGGCCGTGTTTAGAATTAATCTTGTTTTTATTTTTTTATATTTTTTAAGAAAAAAAATGAAAAAATTTTCAAAACGACATTTAACACAATAAAAATAAAAAATAAAAATAAAAATAATTGTTTAATTTAATGTAAAATGAGAAAAAAATGAAAAACAACTTTTAATCATTTTTTATTTTTTATTTTCATTTTCTCCTCTCTGAGTAGAGAGAGAGACATTAATGTATTTTTTTATACTAAAAACAATCTCTTACTAAAATTACCAAACAAATTTTCAAAAATAATTTCTGTCTGAGATTGAAAACGTTTTCATTTTTATTTTCATACAAAAAATAAAATTATTTTAAAACAAGTTCTAAAATCATTTCTGTCTGAGTAGTTTTTTGTGTTCTCATTCAAATTTCTGTACAACATGAAACGAAACCTAAGAACGAAAGTAAAGTATGCTTGATGGGCTGAAACCAAGATGATTGATCATGCTTGTGCTAAAAATATGTGCATGAAGCAAACGATAACTCAATTGGATTAGCATTATGTTATCTTAATCAAAATTTTATATGCTGCTAAGCATTCAAGACAATAGACGGCACAAACTTTCCCGCTTTATTGATTCAAGGAACAGGAAGAAACGCTTGTGAAACTGTAAGAATCAATTGAATGAATCAAATGGTTAGTAAACTCCTCCTGCCTTTCATGCTCAATGCTGTGGATGGAAAAACGAAAGACTTTCGAGCTCTGCCCGTTTCTTAGCTGCCCTTCTAAATGGCTTCCGGTTTCGCCACCATAGACGTTCAATCCCACTAGAACACCCGAAGGTGTTATTTTGATCCGTAACCGGAAGCGTCTTTTGTGCTAGGCTGGACTCGGCCTTTTTTGGTTTCTTCCTCGACTTTGTGTGCTGAGGAGATGGTGTCTTCGGCTCCACAAATTTGGCATCCGATGATCTGACAGAGCATTATGAAGAACCCAATTATTGGAAATACTAGTTTACAATCATATTGGTCACAGTTGATCATTCAGAAACTTATCGGGGTAACATTTATAGATATACCACAACATTCAAACCTCAAACAAGAAGCCTGATTATACAAGATTGAGCTACTATTGAGAAGGAAAAGTCTGCCAACTTTTGGAATGTTTTTCACTGCTCCATAAAGAGCATATTCAAACAAAAGACTGGCGTAGATTACTTCTGACCTCTATGTAACATACATGTTGACATCTCTAGGAAACAACATGACAGAATTAAATATGATAACAACAAGCAATTCACGTAAGAGAAAACTCATCAAGATATTTATATATATATATATATACATATATAACCAGGCTAACCTCTCGTGATCCACTGATAGTGACGTCGGCAATTCTTCCTTTATAGGCTTACACGCAGGGCATATGTAGATCTTCGGCACACAGACTAATTTTATACAATCAAAGTGATACCACTCATCACATTGATCACAAGCAATCATTGCTCTCTGCCCATACGGCTTCCGACATATGCAATAAAGCATACTGCGAGCTCTTAATAACTGCACCATAGAAAAAGGGTTAGTTTAAAAAACAATACAAACACGAATTAACAAAAACCCCCAAAATATGTTATAACGTTACCTTAAGTTCTTTCTCTAGATGAACAGGCAAATTCTCCCCCTCGGAGATAAGATCAAATACTTTGTCCAAGCCCAGAGCCCCAGAATCTCCCGCAACCTGTTTAACAGAAAAGTAAAAGCTTCAAATGATGGAAACACAAACAAAAAAAAAACAGAGAGAGAGAGAGAGAAAAAGAGTGCAACGGTTAGAACCTTCTTAGCGTAATCTGCCCAATGCATGCCAACGCGCTTCACTTCCGTAAGCTTCTGCCTGAAGTGATCTTCTGGAGGAATTTTCAAAGTGAGCCCCTGCCACATTTCACAGTGTACTTAAAATCCAATATCAAAATACTACAACAAAACAACTAAATAGAGACAAAAGCACAAACAGCCTATTTAGTATACAAGTTACTGTGTCAAAGCACCCTTCGAAAATTGATCAATGAAAGCATCGAAAAACTTCATAACAAGAAGTGATATCCTATGTTCCATGGTTCATCAAGAGAGTTTATTTTCCAATCATGTTCGGTCCCGTCTAAGCATTACTACCACAATCTACTATAGGCCTTAATATTTAAGGTTCACAGCAGACGTGTTTGCTACAGATATACCGTTCTAAAACCTGGACTATCAAGTAAAAGCAAAAGGCTCAAGCAATTAGAAAAACCACATACCTCCTTCAGACGCTGTTGAATTGGTTGCATTGTTGGCTTTTGCGAACCCTCAAGTAACCGATCCACTTGGAGTTTCCATGAGTTCCTTGCTACAGCCAACTTGAGGTTGCTATCAACTTCATGGTCGTAAACACCTGCTACTTCAGTAGCCTTTATAATGAAACAGATTTCGATCAGAGTTACAGAAATCGAAATTGGAGTACAATACACAACCAAAAGGTTCCAGGGCGTACCTTAAAAGCAGCAGTTAGTTTTCCAGAGATTCTACGCAGGTCTTTATCAACAAAAGCTAATGCTATGTCAACTATTTCTGTCAAGCGAGTTTTGCATAAGAGAGCTTTCTCCACAAGCTCTTTCAATATTTCTCTCTCTTCAATACTGCACAACAAGCAAAGCTACCATGACATATATGCCGAGAAATTTGGAGCTAAACTCAAATCCTTCCCCAGGTTTTTGAAGTTTGGTCATTTTTAACTTGGAAACAGAATCGAACAAAAGTAATTGATAGAGATCCTAATCTAAATTACTCACTTATATTAGGCATAAATATAAACTTTTTTTTAGGGAACATAAGAAAATTCATATATATCTATTAGGATTTATTTAAGTTTATTTTATTATGTTTAAAATCTTATTACTAGTTTTTGTGCGTCTACAAATACACCCAGTATTTTTATTTTTTACTTTAGACCTTGATTATTGTTGAACATATAGATTTCATCCCATTTTTCTCTCTCTAAATTCTTCTACTTCTTCCCTCAGTTCTCCTCTCTCCTCGTCCTCTCTTAGTCGCTCTCTTAAATCTATCTTGGTCCTATGTTAGTAATATTATGTCTCTTTTTCTACAAAATAGACAGCCCTAAATAAAATTTCAGAGACCATTATAAATAATACTGACCTATAGTAATAGCAAATATAAAACACAAAGAAGAAATCAAATGCAGAGTTTTAGTAGAATTGGGATATTATTATTACCGCACACAGAAATCTTCACATTGGGATAGAAGTTCAATAAGCATTTTAAGTTCCGGACGCTTTCCCACAAATCTCTGCAAGAAGAAGAAACAATGAAATATATATATTTTTCTTTTTTTTGGTGTGTGTGTGTTGGCGGGGGGGGGGGGTATACAAGCTTTTGAACTTTCAGATCTTACTAAGAAGACATACCAGAGGACCGCCTCCATCAAGGGAAATTAATCCAACTACCAAATACTGGCAATATGCACATTGAAATACTTCTGAGCTTTTTACACATGTAGCTTCAGGTCCTAGGCACCTCAGATGGTAACTGTTCATATAAGAACACATATATGAAACATGTGATAACCTCAATATACAAGCCCAACTAGAAACTGTGAGAGGTCTACCTATTAGCGGAGGCAAATAGGAATACCTTAACATTAACGACAAAACCTTAATACAGCAAGAACTACCTTACCAGTCCTGGCAGATAGAACAAGTAAGAAACTCTTGGTTCCAAGTGTCATTAAAACAGCATGAAAAACAGTCCCTTGCTTCCAAGCCACATGACTTGTTACATATGTACAACGATCTCTCTAATGTCTGCGACATCTGTATGTAAATAAAATCATATAAATACATCTGATTGTAACCAAACCAACAAGGACTAAGATGGGAACTGAGAGGAATAACTAGTGAAACCTTTTTCAAAGCACCGAGCAATGAATTCTCATCTTCAATTAAAGTCCCTAAAACTTCCATGCAAGATTGCTTCCACTTCTCAACCTTGTCAACCTCAGACAAAACCAACTCTAGTTCCGAGCAACTGAAAGCATCGGCAACCCCAACTTCCTGTAGAAGTTAAAACCATATCAGCCATGTTTGTAAGAGAAATGTTTTTTTTTTAATAAAATACTTAAAACACGTAAAACTCAGACATGGACCACATACCTTGAGCGGTAAAATCACAGACCAACATCGTTCTCTAGGTTCTAGAGTGAAAAAAAAATTATATGCTTGCTCTTGCCACGACCTAGATTGGAGTTCAATTACAAACAATTGAGTAATATTGTAACAAAAGAGAATGGTAAATAAACTTTGGATTATTTGAATATGAACACTTTCCACGGGTAAAGCTTTTTCAAAAAAAAAAAAAAAAAAAAAAAAAATCGTATAAAGTTGGAAAAAAAATAATTAAAAAAAAAATCTGGTCAACAATTGTGAGTCGAACTGGATTCCATGGGATCAAAGTCATGTTCTCTCGGAAGAGTTATATTGTGTTTACCAATTACAAAGGTGAAAGTGAAGAGAGTGGAGAGCGGGTAAGGGGAAGAATATAAAATTGAGTCACGAGCATAGATACTCACTTGTGTTTCTTGATAGCATTTTCGAGTTGACCAACCATGGACGGGTAGATACTACCACACTGCAAGCAGAATACTTAAGTTGTTAAACTGAATCAATAGCAAAACTGTATTGTTGACATGAAACTTGGAGATTTAAAAAGTTTCAAAGAGCAACAAAAATAGCAAAAAATGAGTACCTGAGCATTGGCAAGAATTTCTTGAGCATCACCCAAACCGCATCTTTTAGACTTGCAACATACAAAAACTACTTCAGAAGCTTGACGAAGCCATTTGACCCCATCAATCAATGAGCTCCACAAAATACTAGAAGCAAATGTGCGGGGAAGAAGTTCCGATGCTTTCATCAAGTTCTCCACATCCTTCAAGGAAATAAACAATAAGCACAGAGTCCTCTATAGTATAGGCCAAAACAAAAGACAGAAAGTATACCTTTTTTCTTTTACATATGGAGATTTGCAGGAAGCAAAAGAAGCAATATAAGTGTGTAATAAATGTCCATGTCAACTCATACTAGGGGCATTATAAGGTCGTGTTGCGCTCATTACTATTATGGTTTTAATTAAATCTAGTTAAGGAACGTGACATAAATCAATTACAAAGTGTTGAACCATAAGATTGGAGACAAACGGACTGAACAACTCACTCAGGAGACACAAATGAATTAAAAATGGCAAGGATCACAAGCTTCACAAGTTTTAAAGTTCATAAGGAACAGTATCGTAAGCTATGGAACATAAGCATATGATTTGTCACTAAAGAAAATAGTCACCTCAAAAGAAGGAGCATTGGAGCAGAAAGAAAGGGCCTTCTCACACCATTGCAGTGTAGAACAAGCATCCTCAAGTTTTGGAATCTCGTCTAAGTCAAAACCAAAAGATAAGCCTGTTTTTTTGACAAATTCAATTCTAGTAACTAAACACTCGATTCTCGAAATAAGACCACCGGTTAATCCATCACAAATGTTAGTCGTGTCAAAAAGGCGGCTCGCATCTTGCAGCAGAGAACCAGCATCACTCTTCCACTCCTCACAGTCTTTTAAAACTGTCTCAACCATCCTTCTTTCTTTCAAAGACACCTTTAGAAGCTTTGATTGGGACACTAAGTCCTGCAAAGGACATCATCAGCTAGAGGGATATCGATCAAAACATTGTAAATCGCAAGTAGAATTAAGCAAGAACCTGCAGGGCCTCAAATTTCGGCAAAGAGCTTGAGACAGGCAGTAAAGGGGAACAAGACACTAAAAATGGATTTGCCCTTTCCAACCAAGATACAGCCATTGACAAAGCCTCCTTGACATCATTGAGAGAAGGTAGAATCACACACAAGTCTTCCGCACCCCTACAACATTCAAACTTGATTAGTTTAAAAACCATATAGAAATCTATGAACGCAGCAAACTAAACAGGCTAAAAAAACCGTTAAAAACCTTATAGCAACTTCAAAGTCACACAAATCAGCCTCGTGTGAAAGAATATTTGTTGCTCTTTCCTCCCAACATGTCGCAGCATCAAGTGCTTCAGACATGTCAACAAACAATTTCTCCCTGTCAATATGCAACCTGAGAACAAGCAAACCAAATAAAAGAGAAGGTAAAGGAAATAAAATGCAAACAAAACGATTGAAAGTAAAAAAAAAAAAAAAAAAAAAAAAAAAAAAAGGCCAACAACAACAACAATAAAAAGGCAAGAATGCCTACTGTGTAGCCTCTATCATCAGTCGCCTGAGGAAGTCCATAGAAACCTTATTATTACGTGCCTGCACAAGTTTTATTCCACAAGATTTAAATGTTTGTGCATGTAACTTTGAAACTGAACTCAAAGCTCAAGCAGCAAAACAAAATGGTGGATGCGTAAAGAGCAAGGGGGGAAAAAAAAGGAGAGAGGATAAAAAGATTTATAAGAGAAGATACAACCATGACTTTACCTTTAGTGCCTTTTCCCTGCAACAAGCCTTCTGCAACTCAACCTCAACAAGAGGTAACTCATCAACTGTTTTTTTTTTTTTAATATTAAAACAAAATACAAAAGATTTAGGCAGGAAGTAAAACTTAAAACTAATAAAATAAAAAAGAGAGAGAAAATAAAAACAAAAGACAAAAAAAATAAAAAACACATGCCAAGACCTTGAATTTTCAAGGATGCTCCATCCTTTAAGATGCACGTTAATTCAGTCACTGCATTATGTTGATCCTCCCGTTCAGATATGTTCAGAAGAATATCATTAAAACGGGATATCCAACAAACAGCATCAGCATGGTATTCCCTTAGAAGCTTCAACTCCGGTACATTGACAGTAAAACTATCCATTTCTCGAAGAAACACTTCAACATTCTGCAAAATTTATTGTTCACAGCCTTGAGAACTTAAAAACATAAAGCACATAAGGAAAAATATACATACATACGTCATAAATTTTTCTATGTATATAAAGAAGCATATGAATGACCTTTAAGTTAATGGGGTATCTCAATACTTCATTACACCGAGCACGACATAATTCAGCTTGCTTTAACAAATCCAAAAGCATTTCTATCTCTGGAAATTGAATCTGGATCTCCAAAATCTATTCATCAATATGCCACAGCATTAGTCATTAGCATATGAAAACTAAAACGGACGAATGAAAAATCAATAATTTCTCTTTTCCCAAAAAAAAACAAAGAAAGACTATCACCTCTGACTTCAACTTGTAAAGAAATTCAACCTCAACTGCAGCCGGGCCTTTTTCAGACATGCATTTTGTTACATTTTCGAGCCAGACCTACCTCAATAAAAGAACTAGATTAATTAACAACTAAGATTTACCAAGAAAATTAGAATATAAATGAGTAATATAGTGTTTACTTTTGCCGCCAAAATCTTTTGGGATAATTTTTTGCTCTCTTTCACATGGACTGGTAAGTCCTGAACTCTAGAGTACAAAAGCTCTAACTCAGATATCTGCAGTGATAATTATAAGAAAAAATATCAATCATTGAAATGAAATAAACGAATCATTAGGGGAAAAAAAAAAGAATACAGAAATTATTCATGTATAAATACTTTTGAGCTTGCTAACAAAGCAGTGTTGATTTCCTGCGTTAAAATCCTTGCCTCTTCAGCATAATCCTGGAAGAGAGAGAGAGTGATCAGTTCAAGAATTTCAACTGCTAGGCTACATAATCACATGGTAGAGAAAGAAACCACTCTCCAGAAAAAGCAACCTTCAATTTAATATGCCTAGGCTCATTACAAGGCAAAGGATTAGCACTCAGCAATTCATTTATGAGGTCATAGTGAACTTTCTCTAAACCATCACATTGATGACGTGACCATTTTTTGCATTTAAACACACATCGTCTAACACTTTCTGCCCATTTCCGCGCATTAACTAAATTTTTCGCCATATCCCTCACCTACATCCAGAAGTAAAGAAGAAAATTGATTAAAACAATACTCCTCCCTCTTTTGTTGAAATTTAAGGGCAACACATGAAACTTACAGGATCCATCTCTTCACCAGCCCACAGAAACTGTTGAGCTTCCTTTAACGCAGCAACATAAACATCTCTAGAGTACGTATTCTGAAAAATCTTACTCGAGCGCATAAGCCATTGTTCTGCAAGTTGATTGTAAGTAATTTGACCACCTTTCACCTGCATAGATGACAATGTCTTAGAATACCAAACAAAACAACTTTCCTATAACAATGAGACCTATATTCCAGTTAAGGGCGCTATAAAACTAGATGACAGTAAAGAAGGGCAAACAGCATGAGAGGAATTTAAAAAGCAAAAAAACAAAAAACAAAACAAAACAAAGGAAAAAGAAGAAAGAAAGAGGACCTTTTTGCTCAAAGTTCTTGGTTCATTGGAGGAAGAGATTTCCCTTCGCTTGTTCCTACTTTTTGTCGTCTCCTCTGAACAATATTTATCCACTGCAAGTACCAAGTCATTCAATTCAGCAAGTGAATGACGGTAGAGAAGACGGTGTTTACTGGATTTGCATTCGCAAAGGCGCTCCCAGTGCTGAATGAGAACCAAATGTTCAGTCAACAATCGCCAAAAAGAAAAACTTTAAAGAGACCAGAAGTCGGGAACCAAAATGCAAAGCTTGGCTGTTCTCCTTATTACTTGATGTTTTAATGAACATTTGAAATCTCAAAATTACGTGCTTGAAGTGTTACGACGTGAATAATAGCACGACAAAGGACGAGTAAGAAGTACGGACCTCCAGACATACAAAAGCCGAAGGCCTACAACAACAGACGACTGCTGAAAGATAAAGATACTGCTTGCATATTATACATGTTGAGTCCTGTAAAAATCCACCACCACACACATTAGAAAGATTATCATCTTCAAATAGCATCAAGCCAAATCAAAAGAGACAAGTTGTGTGACAGTAGTACCTCTTCGGTACCAACATATTCAGGGCATTTACGAGAGGGCAGAGGAGATGACTTAACAATGCCATTTTTCCAAAGCTTCTCTCTCCAAGTTTTCTCTTTTGTATAAATCCTAACCAATTCATTCTTCAAATAAGGTGCTACTCTGCTATCACATTCAATCTGGTAAAAATAGAATGAGAATTAGGCTGAGAATCATCAAACTCTATAATTGCAGGCCCATGAAATCAAGATTACTGCTAAGATGAAGGAATACCAAGAAAAAGTAAATCCATCTACTGAAAAATGGAATTAAAAAGCAAATTTTCATGGAAGCAAGCTTATAACCTTAGCTAATACACAAAGAAGCTCGTCATGAGACAGAACAGCAGTTTTACGATATAACTGATACAGCTCTGCTCCAAACCTGCCATGAGGTAGCCAGTCTGCAGGAGCAAAATTGACAGCCTCCGCACAATTTAAACCTGAAAAGCCCAAAATAAAGTCTTATTTGTTGCACGTACATAAATGTTGATTAATTACACTGTTTCCATCAATTGATTAGGACTAGATTTGTGAGCAAAAATGTACCAAGATTAAAGCCCCCATGGTAAGATCTGGGGAAAGTGATCACGAAATTCCCAGGCTCCTGGTGAGATCAAGCATGAAAAGAGTCATCTCAAGGACATAACACAGAGACCAGCTAAAGATCAAAAAGGAACTCAAAGGCTTATTATAGGCTGGGAAGTCAAAACCCCAATCAAATTAAAGTTCACTTAAACCTTAATCCCTTCATAATTTTTTCAAAAGTAGTAAAGCTCATTTCCGCCAAGAGAATCATGAGAGCTTCTATTGCTAATTCCGTCTATAACTTTTTGCAGCGAAATTTGTTGAGCGAAAAGTGAACTTCTATTGCTAATTCCATCTATAACTTTTTGCAGCGAAATTTGTCGAGCAAAAAGTGAAAAGGATCGCATTCGGGAATATAGTGTTCAGGTCCATCATACCTGCAGTACTGTATAAACGGGAACTCCATTTTCTTGCAAAACTGACGGATTTAACATGGTAACAAGCTGAAAGAGCAAATCTGGTTCCGCCTCAAAAAGATCAGGAAGACAGTTGCGCATCACCTAGATGAAAGTATAAAATTTAAGCCAAAGCACTTTATACAATTTAATGATTACAAAAGGGAGAAGGGGCAGAGGAAACCCAATTGATTGGCAAGCATCTGAACAAGACTTAAACAAACAAAATCCACATTTCATAGGCAGCTGCTAATCTAAACGGGGAAAGCATAACATATATGTATATGCACACTTCAAAACATTTGACACACAGATATATAAACACACAAGCAGATATGTCCATTATCGACATAATCAGACATCCGCAAGCAATAAAACAAAATTGAATTCAATCAGATAAATTTAAACCCTTGCCTCGAGCTAAATGTTGTCATCGGTATATCAAAAAAAATTAAGAAAGGCAAAATTACCATGTTTTAAAAATGTAAAGCATGACACGTTCCATATTAGAGCAGTAATTTACCTTTTCAAATGCATCGGCTTCACCACCTGGCACACTATACCAACATTTTGGCTCTCCCCTAAAAGTTCAAACATGTTACAATGTGTGAGCGCAACAAACACATGCACACCAGAAAATCACCTAACTCAAGCAAACGTTTGAAATCAAAAGAATTATTCAAGGTCGAATAGCAAATATATCATCTCGCTCCAACACAAGGAATTTAAACTCAAACAAGTAAAAAAGTAGCTCAATTGTTTCTTAAGCATTAAAGTGCACAAAAGAGAAGCCATGTGGCTACAATCATATGTGAAAATAAAAAGACACTTTTAAGGAACATCAGCATACATACCAGTGAAGGTAATTCATGGAATAAAAACAATGGTCTTCAAAATGCCAGCAAAAAGATGAAAATAGCATCCCAATATACAGCCAAGGCACCATAACACCAGCAATGTTGTGATGGACAGCTCGCAGCACGGACCCTTTCAACTTGGGCAAGTTATTGAGATTCCATGGGCTACTACAGTATTCATCCCATTCCTTAGCTTCAGCTGACTCAGGTCTCTGGTCATCAACACGAGGAAAACCACTTCCATAGATAGAAGTATCTAAGTCACTGCCATACATCACCTCAACCTCACCAACAGACCCCTCCACAATCTCCCAAAATTTTTTCTCTATTTGCATCCTAGAAGCAGATGCAGACCCAAACCATTTTTTCTTGGCCCGATCAGCCATGCGCCTAAAAGCATCAATTGTGTAACGTTTACCGGGCACAAAACCAAAGCTATCTTTGTCAGAATTTAAGCAATCTAAGCAATACCAGTTGCCCAGCGGAACCTGCTTTAAGGGCGGAGAGAGACAATAAATATGCCACCCTTTATTACACCTATCACACAAAAGCATCACTTCCCCATGTAAACCGCTTTTGCATTGTTCACATATCTGATCGTGCTCTTCCTCCTCCTCCACTTTACAAATCTTAATTTTCTCGCCCTCACTATTCTTTCTCCTCCTTTTAGAACCCGAATGTTCCGTCCCACATTCACTCCTCCTCTCCTCATGCATTCCCCTCTTACCACTCCTACCCGCTTCTTGATTCAACTTATTGTAATAAATTTCATAATCATATAAATGTTCTCTGTACAACTGAGACAGAACGTGCTTCGCACACTCCGAAATCTTCCTCGCAGACGTCACGAACCGCGAAACATCCCCCCACTTCTTCTCCTTTGCAATCTTATCATACCCGCCGTACCGCTTCACGGCATTGAACAACTTACACAAATCCAACTCCTCCCCCTCGAAGAGGACCTTCCTCGTCAGCTTCTTCCCCGAATGATTCTCCAAAAACCTATTGTACTCCAACTCAAAAGTCTTGGAATCACACGAGGCAGGCCGTGCCTGCAACTGGTGAATGGCCTGCGTTTTCGTCGGAAACTCGAAGGACTCCAAATTCAACCCAAATGGGGGTTTCCAACTCTTTGGTGGGACAATCCTACAAATCCCATATGGCTCAGCCTCTGGCCTGATCTTATAAATATACTCCAAAGGGTCTCTAAATTCATCCTCAGTTGGATAATACACAGGCCCAGATGGGATATTCAATGACCCACATAAAGAAACGCAAGAATTCTGCCCTAATACTCCTTTCTCAACAGCCCTAGGTCTACCTTTCCCCATCAAAACATCTAAAAATACACACAAAAATAGAACTTTATCCAAACCATATACAGAAAGTCACCTACATAAACAGAAAATTATATATACCTTCAACAAAAAATCATTTCTTCTTCCATAGCCAACAAGAAAGACAAAAGAGAAAAATGAAAAGAAACGGGTTCTAGGGTTAGAAAGCGTACCTGTTGTAGAGAGAGAAAGACGGAGTTAAAGTGAGAGAGAGTGGTTCTGAGTTTCTCTCTCCCCTACAGTAATCAGTGAGTTTCGTGGGAGATTTTAGTTGAAATAAACGGAAAATTAGGGCTTTGCGTATTAGGACCTAAAGTTTGATAAAATTACAAAAACGACACCAACATTTTTCTCGTTATTAGATTTTTTTGGTTTCCGACGTGGCCCGTACCTTTCGTCTTTATTGGATGTCCCCGCCGTTTTGATCTTTGTTGATTACACGTGCTGCATCTACGGTGGCTAGAATTTGTTTTCGTAAAAACGAACGGTCTCAAATCTCAATACGAAGTTTGTAGATATGGTGCGCGTGGGTAATTATTTTACAAACCAGACCGTACTGTCCGGTTGTAGGTGTGAAGCACACGTGTCGAACATCTATAGTATATCGGACGTGCTAGAAAAGTGCTTTGTTTGACGGTTGTGATTGAATTGCCTGTTCGGATCTTGGTCCTTTTATTTTTGTTTTTTACTTTTCATGCAGGTTAACAGCCTTGTTTTATTTCTTTCTGACGTGGCTAGAGCTAATTAGAAAAGACGAGGATACCAGGTAACCAACCATTTTTTTCTTTTTTTTTTTTTTTTTCTAATCAGGTAACCAACCAAGAGAAATGATTAGGGCTTCGTTATTTTACCGATTTAAATTTTATTATAGTAAAAAAATTTAAAAAATAATTATATTTAATTTTTTTATTTTAATACAAAATTTTTACATAAAAATACTCACATCTCAACTCAAATTAATAAATTAAACGGATCTTAAAACAGTTGCTAATCAGTGATGCGTGTCTATCTTTAGTCATTCATCACCGTAGGCTCCACGGCATAATCTAAAAGGTGGGAGATATATTGATGATTATGAACAACTTTAAAAGGGTTTTTACAAGTTTTCTTAGATGCAATGATAATAGACGGTTGCGACTTACACGGATATAGGAGTGTGTTTCATATGTTTAAGTTAATTTTCGAGCAATTCGAATTATAAGACCTATTTAAAGGAACATTATATTTAAAACAAAAAAAAAATGAAATACTCAATTTGGATGAGCTTTTCTATTTGAATTCGGTTTGAAATTAGAAAATCAGAATTCACCTCCTTATGAAGTTTATGATCTTTTTTTTTGCTAATCAAAGTTTATGAAGTTTATGATATTTTTTTGCTAATCAAAGTTTATGATCCTTTTCCTTTATAAGTGAAACTAATAACTGTTTAATAAGGTCATGTTTGGTTCATGGATTAGAATTATGAAATTAGAATCATTTTCGATTTATTTGTGTTTTTTGTGAGAAAAAATACTGTAATGAACTATGAACCATGATTCGAATCAGAGAACGAATCCTCCAACAAAACGGGCTGTGGTGAGGGATTTGAAAACTTTTCAGTATTTAGTTTTGATCTCTCTTAACTGCAAAGGATTCCTTAATGGAATTATGAAGTCATATCGCTATCTTACTATTGTTATCAAATGAATCGGAATTTTAACCAACCAAGGATAAACATTAGTAATTATACCAATAAAATCATGTCTTTTTCTTGTTTGTATGTGCAAGCCAGGAGGTAATTAGTCTTGATTTTTTTTTTTTTTTTTTTTTATAGAGTAAACGGCAACGCGTGGTGATTAAAATGTCCAAAAGGAAGAGGAGGAGAAAGTTGAAGTGAAATAGAAAGAGATAAATAGCAAAGTATTTCTTTATTTTTTTCAAATCCAAATGAGTTAATTCAACAATATAACTGAAAAATTCCTCTAACCAAAAACAACCTTCTTCTTAATAATGAGAACATTTTTCCAATATGTGGGCAGTCCTATTACAATGACAAGAAATGTAACTGTAAGAACCACTATTAACTTTATCTATTAAGATCTTGAAGTCATTTAAAATTAGAAACTCTCCAACAGCTCAAATTGCGTTTATTGAGTCAACTTTTACCTTAGACACATGAAGGCCACATTCCCTCTCTAATGGCAATACATTCAGCAACAAGGGGAGGAAGGCGTCCTGTTATCCTCTTCGAGAAGGCTCCAAGCACAAAATCGGATGCGTTCCTTGTAAGTCCTCTAACACCTATACAAACACCATTAGTAGTAACAGATGCATCAACATTAATAGGACGTTTAATTCATGAATTTAAAACCATGATTTATAATTCTGATTTTTGAAATTTAAATTTTTTATGAGAAAAAAATACTGTAGAAAACTAAAAATTATGATGCATAACCAAAAATAAATCCTTAAAACAAACATTCCATTATGAGGCTGCCATTGCTGTCTCAATGAAACAAGTAAGATCGTAGACTTCTACACATCAATATGAGCCGACTAAAACTCGTGGATTCACGCACTTGCAGTCTCTAAAAGATGTTCAGGCTGCATAAGTTTTCCACCATGAATATGAGCATTTTTGCCCTTCCGCACAAACCATAACATCAAATCAATTAAGTAGATTGAAAAAAACAAACCTTAGGTTATGCAAATGTTACAATGAAATGAGGTAACATTGGGGTCATTAGTCTTTGTACAAACATTGTGTAATTTTAGACAATAAAATATAAGATTTTGACGAATACAAGTTTTCAATTGTTACGTTTTTATTGATAGTTTACATATCAAATATAAAAACTTAATGTGTGTGTGGTAAGAATTAAATTTTATTTATTGTCATATATTTTTTAGGTAAATTATCCAATTTATTACAACTGTTTGATCAAGTATTACACGGTTTAAATAATAATATCTACTGATAGATAAATATTAAAATAACACCCATATGTATACACATATATGTGGGATGGGAAATGAATGGTTTTTTTTTTGTTTATTATTCTTTTTAGCTAAAGCAACTAATACAATGTTTATTGATTTTCTTTACATTTAGGTTTACTAATAATAATATTTATCGTGTTTGGAATTATTCTTGTTTTCATTTTTTACATTTTTTGAGAAAAAAATGAGAACGATTTTAAAACGGCGTTTTGCACAATTAAAGACAAAAAACAGAAATGAAAATGATTTTTTAGTTTAGTGTAAAATGAGAGAGAAATAAAAAATAATTTTTTAGTCGTTTTTCATTTTTTGTTTTCGTTTTATCCTCTCTCGAACAGAGAGACATTAATGAGCTTTTTTATACTAAAAATAATCTCTTGATAAAACTACCAAACGCATTTTCAAAAATGATTTATGTCTAAGATTAAAAACATTTTAATTTATATTTTCATATAAAAAATAAAATTATTTTAGAACGAATTCTAAACGCACCCGCTTTTTTTTACAAATATAATTATCTAATCTAGACGTTTGGTTTATGAATTCAGAATCATTCTCAATTTACGTATATTTTTTATGAAAAAAAATACTATAATAAATCATGAACCATAATTCGAATCATGTCATAAATCTAACAACTAAACAATCTAGACGCAACCCTTTTAGTGTTATTAACGAGGGGTTGCCCTTTACTGTCACGTGGCAGAAAGTTTTTTTATTATTTATTAATTAGAAAAAGGCAAGGTAAAACTTTTTTCTACAGTACTTTTCCATCGTTTCACACGCTACCATGTGACAGTCCTTTTTTTTTATCTTTTTCTACTTTTTGATTTCTTTTGATATTTTTAAATGTTTTATTTTTTTTTATTTTGTGCATGTTGCTTTATAGTTTAACTTTTTTACGTTGTATTTTTAAAAAATATCTTATTGTACCTTTATTTTTAGAAAAAAAATTTGTATGGATGTTTTTATATAATTTATTTCTCTCTTATTTTCTTGAATGGTTAATAGTTATCTTCAAACGCCCCTACTTAACTACTTTCTATATAATTTCTCTTATATCAAAATTTGTAACTATAGGTATCTTTTATAATTAGCCCATTAAAACATTTTTTTCCCCCAAATATTTTTTTGATTCCAGTTTTTTCTTTCTTTTTATTGATTTTTTTTCTTTTGGTCCTCCCTTATTTTTTATTTGCATCATTTAATCCTTTGTTTATGTTCGTTATATGTACCCCGTAAAAATTCACTCTTTTGTAATTTGGTCCACTAAAAACTTTGTTTTCTTTTTAAATATACTCTACTTAAATTTTTCTTTATTTTTTACTAAACTAAATTCTTAAAAGAATAATAAGTAAATACAAAAATTACAATAAATTTTAGATATTTATATCCAACAAAATATAACACGTCGAATATGCGCGTGCTTTCAACTAGTCACAATAAAAGCAATAGAAAAATTGTTTTGCCAGGAAATCTTTATTTTACGGTTCAAGTACGTGTTTTTGTCTATTTGTAGAGTTAGGCCCAATTCTCATATTTATTTGCCTATTCTTCTTTTCTTATCTCAATCCCCTAGCGATTTTCTCTCTGTAGGATATATTTATTTATTTATTTTTCTTTTATTTTATGGTTTAGTAATTTCGTAATGAATAAAGATCTGTATCCACTTAGATATAAAATGGTGATAAGTTTAATCAACTCATATCTTAATCTTGTTATGTTAATCTTTTTACGTTCATCATTTTTGTTTGTTTTATGTGGTTTCTTACCAGCTTTGTAGCTTACGAGTACTAGATTTTGAAAGATTTTAGTCGAATAAGATTGACATCAACAAGAGAGTTAGAACATACACTTGAAGTATAAGGTATTCCGTGCCATAGTCTGTAGTTTGCTACAATATTTTATCTCACAAAAAATATACGTAAATTGAGAATAATTCTGAATTCATAAACCAAACGTCCTCTTATTTTTGTTGCGGAGTTATGTGCACCCCAATTGGTAAGTGTGGTAATGGTATGATTTGTTGCTTGATCTTGAACTCTAATATTTGTATTAGTTGAATGAAATTGTTGTTTTTTATTTATCTTTTAAATAAAATAATGGTTGTTTCACCTTTTTGAGGTGCAAAATTCATAAGAAAAGTTGGGTTATAACAATTGTTTCTCATAAATTACTAACACGCCTTTTTTTTTTTATTTGCCTTTTATTGGGAAGAAACTAAATATAGCAATACCTACGATGCCAAGTTAAACAAGTTTTTATGCTAATTATTCCAAGATTTAGCATTCAGCCAAGATAAAATCTCTTCAATGCAATGTTATATTTAATATCAAATTTGATAAATATTATATTTACTGTCAAATTTAGCACAAAATATAACACATATTTCATTTAATTGTCATTAGTTGATGTGTTGACTTTTTTATTTAATAATTATAATATTGACATTTTAATATTATTTAAAATTAGAATTAAAAATACTTTTTTTACAAGTTATAAAGCATATAATTTATAAAAAAAGTAAATGCAAAATTTAAATAACATTATGCATCTGAGTACAAAATAGAACAACATATCAAATACATTATTTTCATATTATATATATAAATCATGTATAATATTAGTATTAACATTTGCAAATTGAAATAAAGATGAACTTAGAAAATTAATTTAACCATAATAATTCACGTACTAATAATAGTTGCTAATATAACTTGGCTTTTTCATTGATCCAACCCCTGTAAGGATAATATTTTATATTAGTCCACTTGTCCTAAAGTTTATTGTTAATAAATTCTCACTGTCATTAATTCAAATCTACTTCTCTTTGAACTGAAAACACGGATTTTTCTTTATAAAAAAAGAAAGAAAGAAAGAAAGCAAGAGAAAACATGGATTTATGTGCTCTTTAGCAATAAGATAAGATAGAAAAAAGATTGACCCAGATGAGACTAGGATGTTTGGTTGGAGAATTTAAATCATGTGATTCGAATTATTTTTGATTTATGTGTATTTTTTGTGAGAAAAAATACTGTAACGAACTACAAATCATGATTTGAATCAGGGAACGAATCCCTCTACCAAACACTCTATGCTTTCCCATAGAATTTTTACAAAGTTGGCAGTGTATTGACTCTATTGGGTAAAGAGGAATGCAAACGTATTATTGTTAGGAATGTCCTTTATTTATTTGTTTGCTTTTTTTAACTCAATCGGTATTATATAATATTATACAGTTTCAGGAAAATATGTAAATTTAACGAAATTTTGTAAAGATTAATTGTTAAAAATTAAATCTATTGTCTACCACTACAATAATTTACCAAAAAGTTATCCAAATAACAATAATAAAAGTAATGGTGGTAGCTACTTTTGGCCCCAATAATCATCATTCTAATTTGCCAATTAGTCATAGTTATTTACTTTTCCTGTTGATTCAATAATATTTAACAAGGTAATCATCCCTTGTTATAAAGTTATTTTTTCTGTGGACCGATTTATTTATTTATTTATTTGCTAATCAACTGTGGACCGAATTTATATTGTAATTAACATCACGCCCTCACTAATATGCCGTGGCTATACCACATTTCACAAATGATAGCCAAATATTGTTTTTTTTTTTTTAAATTATAATATTGGTATTCTATTTTCCGATGGTCAGGAAACTGTCTTTATATCCGAATATATTAAATTGATACTTCTAGTAGTTTAAAAATATATATCCAAGTATTTCAAAAGTATCTTATACAGGACAATCTCATATAATATTGTATATATATACACACATATTCTATGAAGTCATCTACGTATTAAACGTGTCTGGATAATACCCGATGATGTTAACTCCCCTGTCAATATATAGTCCATAAATACAACCTCCTACATGATATATATATATATATATTTATAAGCATATAACATAAGGATTAAGAACAATTGAATATTAGAAAAGACAGATAAAGTACACGGAAATTATTATACTTACTTTTCTAGTAAGCCCTTTTAATTTGCAGCATTTATTTCATTTGTGGTTATCTGGTTGAGGTACCCCGATTCCCAAAAGAAAAAAAAAAACAAATAAATAAATAAAAGAAGAGGAAGAAGAAATATAGCCAATTGATTTTTTATTTTTTATTTTGACTTTTATTAGATTATTGTACAATTTTGATGTGTTTTAGGCCGCGTATTATTTTGACCCGGAATTGCAAAAGTTTCCACATGTAATGGTTACTTTTTTTGGTTAAATTTCCACATGTTATGCTTATCGCCATGAGAAATGTTTCAAGAAAATACAAGCAAAGTATAGTAGCTAGTTAGTTCCGTCAACAGGGGGAAAAAAGTACAATATTTATTGCTAAGATTTTTCTACCTTGCTTTAAATAATTGCACCTTTTTCTCCAAAGAATATGCACAAGAATAAAAATTATCATGACCCACATATTTATCTATTACCTTTTCTTTTGGTAGAAATCTATTACTACTTTTTTGTTCGAGAAAAAGTCATCTTATGAAGACAAATATATATATAAGTTTATTTTCTTAAAGTAAATATAACTAGGTATATTATTGTTTTTCTTGCCACGGACATAACTTAATTAAATCCTTTTTTCCCCTCCTTTTTTTAAGAATAACTTAATTTAGTCCTTGAATTATGAAAGACAAAGTTAAGAAATCATTCTATAGTTGAACTAAATCATCGTTAAAAAAGATTCCTCATCCTATCCAAAAAAAAAAAAAAAAAAAAAAAATCCCTCGCTTTTCTTACCTTCTAAAACATTTTTTTTTTCAGATAAAAATTTAACATTTACATTTCGGCATGTGTTTGGACAACTTTCTGATTTTGCCCTTTCATTTAAATTATTTTGACTAAAATATTAATAAAAAGTGAGTAGATTTTGCCAAGTTCAAACACCCAAAACCAACACTCTGATGAGTTGAATGATTAGGACATGTTCACTTCGCTGATTTGAGTTTGTAATTCGAGTTAAGATGTGATTTTATGTGAGAGTTTTTTACTGTAGCAAAAAAGTTAAATGTGACTGTTTCTGAGAACTTTTTACTGTAATAAAACTCAAATCGGTGAAATGAACGAGGCCTTTGTCTTTTTCGGGGGACAAAATCGATTATTGGTGGCTTAGGTATGAAAAATCAGAAAAATTCGCTCATGTCGGTGGAAATAAGAGGAAATAAAAACAAAAATTACTAATAATAAATAAATAAAAACTGGTTTTGACGGTTATGTCATCTTACAAACTTATATAAAAGAATTTCTAACAATTATATAGAAGAAAAATTGTAAAAAAAAAATTAAATTATTTTATTTTCTTATTTGTTTTTATTTATTTCTCATCCAAATCTGAAAGCTGTTACGAAAATCTTCAGGCGCAGAGAAAGCAAAGAAACGCCATTAAAGACAGAGACGAAGAAGAAGAAGAAGACTATACGATCTCTGATTCAAAAAGTCTCTCTTTTAAAGAGATTCACTTTCTGAAACCAGTTCTCTACATGCGTGTGTGTATATATTATATAATTATACACACACACACATATATAATATTTATATGTTCGAAGTTCAATAAGAGCAACTGAATTATTGTAATAAAATAAAACTTCAAAAAAAAAAGAAACTCTTCGCTTTCTTGGCCTTTGACCGAATCGAGGAAGACGTTCATTCGTTCAGGTTCTCAAAGCTCTTTCCTCGTTTTTTTTTTTCCTTTGTACTTTTGTTTTGTTTGGAGAATACTATAAATATTCCATTTTTATTTATTTATTTATTAATTCTTGTTGTGATCTTTGATCTGAGCTTAAAGACGCTTCGTTTCTCGTGGTTTTTGTTTGAGTGAATAAAGTTTTTTTTTTTTTTTTAGCTGCAGAGAAGTGGATTTTGGACTGAATTTGACTAGCTCGGTTGCTGGCACTGAGTTGACTCGGAATTGGAATCGGATGCAAAAGGTGTGGTGGTTTTCTTTTTCACCGGAAATGCGGAATATTCATTCATGTATTTTTGCTGTTTTCTGACTTGCTTTTTGCTTCTTTTGATGTACTTTTTCAATTATTTGGGAAGTTCTAAAAGTGCATATTTTGTCTAGGATTTTGGTGATTTATTTTTATTTTCTGAATCTAGATGAATTATTGCAAAAATGACTTGGGTTTTTCATACATTTTGAGATTTTCAATTCGTTTGGTTGTCAATTTGAGTAATGTGTCGTTGACGGGTCTTGTATCAGTGAGAGGGAGGAAATTGGATTTAGAGTGAAAGGTGTATGGAGACTTTGAAGTTCAAAAACCCGAGTAGTATTTGAAGCGCGGAACTTGCTAGTGTTTGATCAAGAATACTGGGATTGGGATGGGCTGTGAGTGGTCCAAGCTCTCGGTGTGTTGTGGAGATTCCGAACAGAATGGACCAGTTCCTGAGGCCGAGGGCGTTGGTGAGCCTTGTTAACTTTGGTTCTTGTTTATTTTTATTGCTTTGTGAAGTGCAATTAGAATGTCTGACTTTTCTGTGTACTTGTAGAAACTGAGGAGAAGAATGACCTCAACTTGCCTGCATTTCACGAATACACGATTGAGCAACTTCGGATGGCTACATCGGGGTTTGCCGTGGAGAATATAGTTTCTGAACACGGGGAAAAAGCCCCAAATGTGGTCTATAAAGGGAAACTTGAAAATCAGATACGAATTGCTGTCAAAAGATTCAATAGATCAGCTTGGCCCGATGCTCGGCAGTTTTTGGTTAGTATGAGCGAATATCAGTTAAACTTTTGATACTATTTCTAGTCCTCAAGTTTCCTAGTGCTGATCCAAATTCGTCAACTTTACCATGTTCTCCATCTCTTTCTTGGAACCATCTATATATGTCAATTTCAGCTTTATTTTTCTTTTGAAATGGACTTATAGTTTTGGTTTTTATGGCTAGGATTACTTTGTATGCGTGCTTTCTAAGGATTTTTTTGATGTGTTATTCTTCTTTCTCATGGAGTGTGAGATTTCATCAAAGCTCTTTGATGTGTTAAGCTTTATCATTTCAGGATGAAGCAAGGGCTGTTGGGCAGCTTCGTAACCAACGATTGGCAAATTTACTTGGTTGTTGCTGCGAAGGTGATGAGAGGCTACTTGTTACTGAATTTATGCCCAATGAAACACTAGCAAAGCATTTGTTCCATTGTAAGTTGATTTATTTGCAAACTCATATGATGCCCTTGCACAATTGTCAGCTTTTTCCCAGTGTCTGTTTTCAAATACAGTATGTTCTAATTGGTGACTCAAAGACAGTGAATATGATCTAATGTGTTTAGATTTTATTACGAAAAACTTTCCCATTTCTTTCATGTTTTTGTTGGATTATGGCAATATACGAAATCATGATTCAGTTTTAACCTTTTTTTGGTGTGCCCAGGGGAAACACAACCTATGCAATGGGCAATGCGATTACGAGTGGCTTTACATCTTGCCCAAGCTCTTGAATATTGTACCAATAAGGGACGTGCCCTTTATCACGATCTGAATGCTTATAGAGTTGTCTTTGATGAAGTAAGTATCTTTCATTTTCTCACCTTTTTCTCATTTCTATAAGTCGCGTCTGATGCTATTTCTCTTATTGAACCTCAGGATGGCAACCCTAGACTTTCATGCTTTGGTCTGATGAAAAACAGTAGAGATGGGAAAAGTTACAGTACGAATCTGGCATTTACTCCTCCTGAGTATTTAAGAACAGGTAGTTATCTGGAAAATTTTATCAAACTTCCAGGAAACACGTGTTGGTATTTATTTGTATGAGTTGCAAAGAAGTCAATGTTTACCTGCGACTGTTGTTTTGCTACTGTCATTCAGCAATCATTTGTTTTTGTCTTATTGTCTGATTTAATTGCTTAATTACACCAATTTTTATTGATATAGAAACAGCTTATTGTAGGATATTCCCCCATTTGAACTTACCCTGTAATAGGTGACCTAAACCCAAATGGTGGTACATGTATTCATCTCAGGGAGCTAACTTATGCCATTTCGAATGTGTTACTCCTTTTTTCAGTGGCTCATTGTCTTACTTTCTTCTTGGTTTTTAATGCGTGTCTAGCATAAAATTATCTTTGTAGCTTGTAATTGATTTCTTCCGTGAATGTTGTCTGTTCTGTACTTAATCGCGTATGAATCTTACTGACAATGATTATTTGTTTTAAATTTATCAATTACTAAATGCTGTACATATCTTCGTTTCTACAGGAAGAGTTACTCCAGAAAGTGCAATGTATAGTTTTGGAACCCTTTTGCTTGACCTTCTCAGTGGGAAACATATTCCTCCAAGCCATGTAAGTGTTATTAGTTTTAAGCCTGTTTCAGTGCAAATATATAATGTACATTGGTTTTCTTCTCTTACACCTTTTAAGTGCATAATATTAGTTTCCCTCTGCTTTAGATCACTTGAAGCACTCTCAAAATGCCCTGCTTAATTTGTTGTTTAGTTTTTGTTTTTGGGAATTGAGTTCTAATTTCTAATTTCCATGTTCTATATGTGCAAATATTTCAGGCACTCGACCTAATACGAGACAGGAATCTTCAGATGCTGACAGATTCTTGTTTGGAAGGCCAGTTTTCAAATGATGAGGGGACAGAGTTGGTACGTTTAGCTTCTCGCTGCCTGCAATATGAGCCTCGAGAACGTCCTAATCCAAAATCACTAGTTGCTGCTCTAATTCCTCTCCAGAAGGACACTGAGGTTGGTTTGCCTTTTTCTGTAGTTAGATATACTGAATTCCAGGTTTTATTAGCCGACAAAATTCTCTTTTAAATGGAAAATGAGAATTTATATAACTCTGTTTAAAATACGTGATAATGAATACAGACATGTTATAGAAAGACTTTATGGTAAACTTTAGTGTGGATATCACTAGATGAACAAAACTTCTTTAACATTTCCAATTCACATTTAGTTATTGTATTGAAAGTTGTATACTGCTTTTAGATCTGGAATGAGTTTTGGGTTCTTCAGGTTCTTTCTCACGTATTGATGGGTATCCCGGATGGTGCTGCTGCTTTATCTTTATCTCCACTTGGTGAAGCTTGTATACGAACGGATTTAACGGCCATACATGAGATCTTAGAAAAACTTGGATACAAGGATGATGAAGGTGCAGCTACTGAGGTATGTTTAAATACATCATAATTATACTAGTGAGGAAATGATCAAAATATTCATGTATAGTACTTAGTACTTGCTTGACAAAAATCCCTTCATTGCAGCAAAGTCCAGTTAAAATCTGATATCATAGAATAACTGCATATAATTATAATGCTTATGCTATTCTGGTGTTTACAGCCTACATAACAATTCTTGAAGATCTTGACTTATGATTTTTATTGAGCAAAACTATGAGGATGCTGGGAGAGTGTAAATTAGGTGACTTTGGGTATAAGTGTAACCTGTGTATTTCTTGAGATGGGCACGTAAAATCTACTAGTGAACATATTTAGCCTCTTTGTTTTGTTCTCCAGATGGCATTAATGACCTGTATAAAACATGATATTTGTTGTGTATGACCTGCCTATCGTAATTACTTTTTTTTTCCCCTTGACTTGTAGCTTTCATTCCAGATGTGGACCAACCAGATGCAGGAAACATTGAATGCAAAGAAAAAGGGTGATGTGGCTTTCCGCCACAAAGATTCTAGAGCTACAATTGAGTGTTACACCCAGGTCAAGTATACTTTACTACTCTCTTGAGTTGCATACCATCCCAATTAATGTCTGGAATTGGCAACCAATCCATACAGACCAAGAATCATTAAGAATGAAGAGTTCTAGACATATTTAAATCGATAAGGCCCCTGATAGTCGTGCTATGTGGTATTAGGGACCTTGAATGAACTTTACAAATATACCAGACCGGTTTTGTAAAGCGCACATGTTATCCATGAGCATGTTGTAAGACATATCGTCATATTCATTTGAATTCATTAGGATCTTGTCCCGGTTGATTTGGGTGCAACCCAGTTTTAACTTAATTTTGGGTCTCACTCAAAATCATACATTATATTTCCTCACATAGAGCCTGGCTGGGATTTTTAGATTAAACAGTTTGGGTGCATTCCAAAATTGTCTTTTCTAGTCAAACTGTCAACGTAACTTGTCAAGGTTAATTATTTTGGAAAATAAAGAATAGAAAAAGATACATATCCCTGAATTAGTGATTGAAACTTAAATCCCGGGTTTGACATCAGTCTGACAATTTGTTGGTTTGGCTTTTGCAGTTTATAGAGGGTGGAACTATGGTTTCCCCAACGGTTTACGCAAGGCGTAGTTTGTGTTATCTCATGAGCGAAATGCCGCAAGAAGCCTTTAACGATGCATTACAAGCGCAAGTAATCTCCCCAGTTTGGCATATCGCATCTTATTTGCAAGCTGCGGCACTTTTTGCCATAGGAAGGGAGAATGAGGCACGAGTAGCCCTCAAAGAGGGCTCTGACCTTGAGAGCAGAAAGAATGCAACTGCTTGACCGCTAAAGAATGAAGGTCCAAACTTCTCTTTTACCGAAGATGAGCACCGAAAATTGCATAGAGGAACATGATACTCAGGCAAAACGCTAAGGGGGCTCTCGTACTCTTAAGTCAGGGCTCAGAGTTACGGATAGAGATGGTCATTATCTTGTTGTGTATGCTTGGACTGGTTAATTTGTTGTCATCTTGAAAGCATTCTTTTGCGACAATTATTGGATGGGTTGGTATGGTCAGTTTTGTGGGAGAAGTGGGGACGCTTGAATTATTGTTTTGTGACAAAACTTGCAATGGTTTGTTGTTGCCTGACCTGTTTCCATATACATCAATCATGGGAAATAATTTGGACGCTTTATGTAACCAATTATTGTATTTTGTAAAGGACTCAACTGTAGTTTATTTAATCTTTTGCATTGAAAGGAGTGATAAATAGGGGGATGTTGTTTCCATTCTTGTATTTGATATGTACAGCACCTTTTCTCATGGCTGCCCAATGTTTGACATGGAAATTGGTCATTTCCGAGTGCTATATTGCCTATTGATAAAATTTGTTTGTTTAATTCCGGAATCAATTGATACTTATGAAACGTTATTATTTCCTCTTTTGTTTTCTTCTTGGGTTTATTGGTATGCCGTATGTGGATGCATTTTGCGTGTCATTACAGTTGAAATTTTTATTATCCTTTTGTGTATGAACTATAAATAGCTATATAAATTATTAAAATGGAAAGACTTATTTTTGAAATATTAAAGTGCCCCCTCTCTTCTTCATTTAGCGTGACATTCCATTTTGCTGAATCATATACTCTCCCAACTCTAAAATAATAATAATAATAATAGTAAAAAAAAATGGTATCTTTTAACGGGAAAATGAGTTTTTATTAGAGATTTTTTAGTACGTCTGGTGTATCGATAGATTAAGTTTTTTTAATCGTTATATTTGCGTACTTTTTAATTTTTACGTGATTTTATATAAATCTGACGGACAAAAAATTTAATCTACCGATATATTAATATATCGAAGGTCTTTTTTTATTGTTGTTATTATTAATTTTTTTAACACCATGTTTGGACATAGGACAGAGGGAAAAGGTGGAAAGGAGCACTAATGGTTGTGAACTGGAAAGCATTCATTCAAGTGGCAGTCGGCTTGCATTACTTGACAATTAAGAATGAAACCAATCAACGAAAGAATTTTAAATAGAAAATAAGAACAAGGGAGCCTCTACAGTGAGACTTCTTAAAAGACTTACCGGTAAAATATTCTGTTATGATTGTTAGATAAAGTTTTTAACAATTAAATTTATGTATATTTATATTAAAAATTTATAGTGTGTCGCACAAAACTGTCTATCTATAAATCTAAGTATTAAAAAAGTAATCCAACAATTAAAACAAAACGTTCCACTGGTCGATTTTTTTTTTAAAAGAGTCTCGCTATAAAGAAAGCCTAAGAACAAAGAATCACATTACCACACAGAAATATGTACTAATAAAAAAGTCCTACTGTAAAAAGCCCTATAAGTCTCGTAAAATAACACTAAAGTGAAATTTTCAAGCCCCCAAAAATGATTAAAAAAAAGAAAATACCAAATGGGATGCAAGTATATAAAAATAATATTATAACTAAAAAAAAGAATAAAGAAAATAAATGACGCGTTTAGAACCGTTTTTGAAAACATTTTTCTGTTTTTCGAAGCACTGAAAATGAAATTAGTCTGCAAAACACGTTTGGTGCATTAATTAATTAAAAACGGGACAGAAACTAGCTTTCCCATTTCTTTTCTTTGCATTGGCTTTTGAAAATGATACAAGATCGTTTTCCCCTTTTCACTTCCATTTTCCATTTTTGTTGCAGATTTTTTTTTTTGTTGATAATCGCTTTGAGTTTACAGTTGTCTTTCTTTCAATATTAATCTCCAGCTTTTGCCCTTATCGCGAACCCAAGAGACGCCACTGGCAAAGCTCGTGAACCCCAGTCGCCAGCAAGTCTCGCTAACCCAACTTCTCCTCCGGGAACCAGCAATCCTAGGCGACTCGACAACCCAGCCTTGCACACACAACTGCTCCTCCGTGATCCCAGCCACCAACAAAGCTCGCAAATCCAACTGATTTTTTTTCTCTCTACTGCAGTTCGTGAGTTTTCTCTCCCTCTCAATTAAACCATTGGGTCGAATCGCTGGAGGGAGAAAGATGCAATCTCAAGTTTTTAATTATTTCATAATATATTAATTATGAACTAACATACTGATTATTAGTATACTAGTAATACATTAATATGAACTAATATAATGATTATTAATTATTTAATATATTATTTTATTATATATAAAAATATTTATTAAGGGGATGTTTATTTTCTATATTTGTCATTAATTTTAAATCATGATTCATAATTTTTTATTATATTTTTTTCTCATAAAAAATACACATAAAATAAAAATAATTCTGAATTTATAAATTAAACGTCTATTAAATTATTATCAATTATTTATTAATAAATATATTAATTAAAGATAATTAATTTATATAATCAAAACATATTTTTAAAAATATATAACTAAATATAGTTTCACTTTTTTTATATTCAAAATAATCTTTAAATAAAATAACTAAACGCAGTTTCAAAAACAGTCATCTCTAAATGTTTCATTTTCATTTTCGTACTAAAAAGAAACTATTTTAAAAACACTTTCAGACAGGTCCAAAGAAAGCCCGTCCGGTTTTTGCTTCTATCAAATCTTTTGCATTGAAGATAAGACTTTCCTTCTCTCATCTTCACTAAGGAATTCTGTTTCTAATATTTTATTTTGTGTGTTGGATATTTCGAGTGTGCTTCATGTGGGATTGTTTCTGCACGATCTTGTTGTATAGATAAACACAATTTTTGAGCTAACATCTTAATAAGTAAAGAATACCAAATCTCATTCATACGTTTACTTACACCTATAATATATAAAAATATTAATATACCCTTTAAATCAATTTAATATTTTTAATTTAAAAAATATAGTGTACTTATTATATTAAAATTAATTATAATTAAAATATTTTGTGTAATAATTAGGTACTAAAATAATAAATATACGTTGCATTTATTATTTTTTGAATTTTATTTTTAATTGTATTTATAAGTAAAATAATGGTATAATAATAAATTAATATTAATATTAGGAATGGGAGTCTCAATCCCAAGGGGGGCATGGGAGTACAAATCCCATTCCTCAATCTCAAATTTGAGTGGGGCCCACCAATCTCACTCCCATTTCAAGATAAAAAAAAGAGCAAGTAAACATGAGATTGACTCCCATTCCCCACTCCCATTCTTCAATCCTGGTAAGTAAACATGCCATAGTAATATATTAATATGAACTAATATAATGATTATTAATTATTTAATATGTTATTTTATTATATATAAAAATATTTATTAAGGGGATGTTTGTTTTCTATATTTGTTATTGATTTTGAATCATGATTTATGATTCTTTACAGTGTTTTTCTCTCAAAAAAATACATGTAAAACAAGAATAATTCTGAATCTATAAACTAAACGTCCACTAAATCATTATCAATTATTTATTAGTAAATGTATTAATTAGAAGTAATTAATTTATATAATAAAAACATATTTTTAAAAATATATATAACCAAATATAGTTTCACTTTTTTTTTACATTCAAAATAATCTCTAAATAAAATAACTAAACGCAGTTTAAGAAACAGTCATCTCTAAATGTTTCATTTTCATTTTCATACTAAAAACAAAACAAAACTATTTTGAAAACACTTTCAGACAGGTCCAAAGAAAGCCCGTCTGGTTTTTGCTTCTATCAAATCTTTTGCATTGAAGATAAGACTTTCCTTCTCTTATCTTCTTCACTAAGGAATTCTGTTTCTAATATTTTATTTTGTGTGTTGGATATTTCGAGTGTGCTTCATGTGGGATTGTTTCTGCACGATCTTATTGTATAGATAAACACAATTTTTGAGCTAACATCTTAACAGGTAAAGAATACCAACAATCACAATTATAAAAAGCCACTGACAAATGACAAATATTGCAGTACAAAGCAAAAATGCACTGAGAAAATAAATACATCATCATTAAGCAATGACAACAGAATTCAATTCAAAATATACATACATCCATAACCAATACAATAAGAACCGAATGGACATATATATGCCCCCTTATTAACATTGAAATACAAATATTAACATCCGTACTAATAATTCTCTTCACATGTATATTAGCCATAAAAATAAAAAAAACACATGTATATTATATATATGTATATAATACACATTCACATCTCCTCCGCCTCTTCATCATCATACTCGTCCTCATTCTCAGCCACAGCAGCGTCCTGGTATTGTTGGTATTCCGAAACAAGATCATTCATGTTGCTTTCAGCCTCAGTGAACTCCATCTCGTCCATGCCTTCACCAGTGTACCAATGCAAGAAAGCCTTCCTTCTGAACATGACGGTAAACTGCTCGGATACCCGCCTGAACATCTCCTGAATGGACGTCGAGTTCCCCATGAACGTGGACGACATCGACAGCCCCGTCGGAGGGATGTCGCAGACGCTGGACTTGACGTTGTTGGGGATCCACTCCACGAAGAACGATGAGTTCTTGTTCTGCACGTTGATCATCTGCTCGTCCACTTCTTTCGTGCTCATCTTGCCACGGAACATCGCGGAGGCAGTCAGGTAGCGGCCGTGGCGGGGGTCGGCGGCGCACATCATGTTCTTGGCGTCCCACATTTGTTGAGTGAGTTCTGGGATGGTTAGGGCTCGGTACTGCTGTGAGCCCCGGGACGTCAAGGGCGCAAACCCTACCATGAAGAAGTGGAGGCGAGGGAAGGGGATCAGATTGACGGCCAACTTGCGGAGGTCGGAGTTCAGCTGCCCCGGGAACCGGAGGCAGCACGTTACGCCGCTCATGGTTGTGGAGATCAGGTGGTTCAGGTCACCGACTGTACGTGAATTAATGTAAATTCATAAATGTAGGATAAAAAGAAAATGCTATTTCACAATTCAAGTGATACGGATATGTGATTGGCTAAAAATAGTGTACACATATATGGTCGTGAAGATGAACGCTACTACTCATAAATCAGTCCATGTTAATTCATATTGTAACAAATTCTATGTTGCAGACAAATTAGATTAGTGAACTTTCAACTAATGAAGAGTTTGTGTAATAATTAATTCTGAATTATATGAATATATGTATGGTTAAAACTAACTTTGAGTGTTTAATCTTGGTCTGTGTAACAAGTCAATGATTTTTCAACCAATAAGGACTCTGCATAATAATCTGTGCGTTGTAATGTTATCTTACTGATGTAATTGGTCAAAAATAGAAAGATATATCTTAAATCAGTAATATATGTGACGAAACATTAGCCGTTATATGCTGTGAAAAATTGAGAAACCTCAATGTGTCCAAAGAACTTCTAAAAACTTGTCATAGTTGATACTGATAGGTAGAGTTCGGCTAAAACAAGTTTAAATCTGATCAAGAAGAAAACCGAGTTAACTTACACTTCTCTGTTTTTCAGAATGTGTGTGATCCATTCACTATGGTATACTAATTGAAAAGGGCACTTTCAAAAATCACTTAATTTCAGGTTTAAAGAAAGAAACAGAATTACAAACAGAAGATTCAACTTACAGCTGGGATTTGTGAGCTTGAGAGTTCGGAAGCAGATATCATAGAGAGCCTCATTGTCAAGGACCATGCACTCATCAGCGTTTTCGACAAGTTGGTGAACGGAAAGCGTGGCATTGTAGGGCTCAACAACCGTGTCGGAGACCTTAGGTGAGGGAAACACAGAGAAGGTCATCATCATCCTATCAGGATACTCTTCCCTGATCTTTGATATCAATAAGGTCCCCATGCCAGACCCAGTACCACCTCCTAGAGAATGGCAAATCTGGAATCCTGTCTCATGAACATGATATTCATCAGTTTCATGAAACTAAAAACATATATTGTCAGACGAAAAGACTTAGATAAAACAGTAAATCTTTAATTTTACAGATTCCATAAAATTATAACACATGCATTCATGGCAAAATTTTCATGATACCTATCGTTTCTCATACATAAGTAGATCCATAAAAGGGGCTTTTACTTGGATAGGAATATGTTTCTTAAATTTTCATGTAAAAGTGTGACATAAAAAGTTACAACATTTACTATGTGACATGTTCAGAAAATTTCCTCTTATTAGTTTTGTCAGCCTGTTTAATTTCCCAACAGAAAATCCAAACAAAAATGTCAACCACCAGCAATAATATCATAATCTTTTGGGTCTCAGGACTTGTATATTCCTAGTATCTGATGAAAGTCGCCTAAAGTATTAGCAAAGCCAACATTAAATAAGGTAAAGATGAAACATGATATGTACCTTGTAAGCAATCACAATTCTCAGCCTCTTTCCTAACAACATCAAGAACAGAATCAATCAACTCAGCTCCTTCAGTGTAATGCCCTTTGGCCCAATTGTTGCCAGCTCCATTCTGGCCAAACACAAAGTTGTCCGGCCTGAAGATTTTTCCGTAAGGACCGGTGCGCAAGCTGTCCATGGTGCCTGGCTCAAGGTCCATTAGGACAGCTCTAGGGACATACCTTCCTCCACTTGCTTCATTGTAGTAAACATTCACCCTCTCAAGCTGAAGAGGGGATTCTCCAACATAGTTTCCACTTGTGTCAATGCCATGTTCATCACACACAACCTCCCAAAACTTGCCTCCAATTTGGTTCCCACATTGCCCGGCTTGAATATGGAGGATTTCTCTCATTTTCTTAAAATGGGGTGTGATTTATTTATTTTATATTTGTGAATGAGAGGTTGAAGGAGAAAAAAAGGCTAAAGGAGCTTAGAAGAGGAAGTGGGGGAGAGCAAGTAAGAATGAAACTGGGGTGGCCTTTTGTAGGTGCAAGATAGATAGATGTGACGTTGAGAGTTTGATTTTTTCTCTCTCTCTTATGAGGAAGAAAATAATAAAGTTTCAATTAATAATTTCATGTGGGTTTGTTTGGAAGGTATGTCAAGCTCCAACAAGAGCAGTGAGCTGGATATGGAGTGTGACAACAAGACGCAAGCTTTGTTTTGTGGCCACCTTCAGCTCTAAATTACCAACAAATCCTTCAATTTGATCCCCATCTGTCATTAATAAGATTCAAAAAAATGACATTTTCTTTGTTTGGTAATCTAGCTTTTGTCTACATTTGCATTTGATCAGATCTAATTTCTTCATGAAGGGCAATAGCTTTTATCAAAAATATTTTCGCTACCTATATTTGTCTGTAAATCGATGGTTGCTATTACTCAATCTAGTTTGACGGATTATTCTATCTCAACTAATTTTACAACTATTACAATTAATCTCATCTAAGCTCACAATTATTATGCTAATCTCCCAAGTAATTACATAGCTGTTTGATTGATTTGAAAAGATTTTTTGTGACATGTGATCTAGCAATAATTGATTGGACCAGTTAACCAAAACGTATGGATCAGATCTCACAACAAAGAAAAGTTCAACCTCTCTTTCAGCGACAGCAAAAAGGCAAAATTATGATGTATTTATGGCAAACTATAATCGACCGGAATCTAGAAACAAAATTACCTAATTAACTTCTACAAGTTATGGGAAAGCATATAAGCTTAATCAAGGCCGCCTGTTGTTTTAAGGGTTAAACCCTTGTGTTAATCATCATAAAGTGTACTTGAGTTTGATCCTTAATTTACCGTTTAGATCTTCTGATTTATGTATATTGACCAGAAACATAAGAATGCCTAAATACCCATCTACCTTGTAAAGTAGAAACATAGTGAACCAAGGACAATTATCAAAAAGACAAAAAAAAAAGGACATGATTTCATTAAAGAAAGAGTATACTGTAAAGCCAAAACCATCACCTAACATTTAATAAACACTTGACTTGGCATTTCTGATAGTCAGGTTCATGAAGATAAGGTAGTTATACCACATGAATCATTATGCAATTATTTATGAGAAATCCAGATCAAGTTTGGTACGTTGGGATAATACACAATTATGCATGTTGGGTTATAATGTGAATATAAAACCAAAGAGGAAGCAAGCCACAATTATTGGAGGCATGAGATATCCCTGTCACCTTGTCTCACCACCCACGAGGGAGGGATACTTGGAATCCAATGGCTCAACTCACAAAATGACCTTAAGACTCTACATTAGCCGCTACAACATTTACCTAATTCCTAGTCATTTTTATTTTTAACAGTAATCGCTTAGGTTACGCAAATGAAAGAAATCATCCAATACCTTCAGTTTCTGGCGCTTTCTCTCACTAGCAACTTGCTACAAAGTGAGAAATTCCGAGAGAGTGAATCCAACTAAACAATATCTACAAATAAGATAATAATAATGTAAAGGGGGTGGGGAAAAGGTGGGATTGGATAGGGATGTGTATGTCACACAAACAAATGTGATAAGTTTTGTTTTGTTAGAGCATTGTTTTCAATGCACAGGAGAATAAGTCAGTGGCATCAGATGAACAGTCCCAATCTCAATTATGACCACATAATGTTGGTATGTTCCCTTCATAGAAGCCACCCTCCATCTGACCACCATCCCATCAAAACCATTAAACAAAATGCCAGCCCCTAGAATCTCCACCTCTTTCACCTGCTATTATACCATGTAAATACCCTCTAGACTTGGCTGATCACAAGCAACACAACAAAACTTGTGTAATAATTCCCAGGACCACTTAGAGAATACTAATAGAACAAATAAGCATGGACAAATACATGATTCAGGCAAATCATATGGCTATCTCTGTCTCATGATAGTAACCACATTGCTGATTTGCGAAACAAAAGCACATGGCACCTATTGATGGTCACATGACATTAGGTAGGGCAAGGAAACAGTCATGAGAGAGGTGAAGGAAAACCAAGAGAAGAAACTACCAGTAAAATTCTGATCAAACAAAGAATTCAAGGTGATAAAGGAAAAACCGAAACAGTACAAAAAAGTGTTATCTTCCAACTTGAATTTTATTTTGGCACAAGCCAATATGACCAGCTTCTAATGTTGGAGAAGTTTGGATCAAAATCTTTTGAGGGTTGGGTACTCAATAGTCATTTATTTTGTAATCTAAGAACGTATCTCCGCATATTCATCAATGACCATTGCATGAGAAGCCTTGGAGTAAGGGTAAAATTTAGTATTTACTTTACATTTTATTCCCATGAGATGATGCATCTCTCTCTAGCCTAACCACAAATCAAAAGCAGCTTAAAATAGAAACAAGGGTTACACCTGAAAATCAATGAGGTCTACACACAAAAGGTCCCTACAGAAGCGCACAAGAATCTTATTGACCTTAGTAGAGTAGCTCCTCAAAAACAGGATCTACACTCTGTCCCCATTCTCCATTATATAGCTCCAGTAGCTTCTCAGCGGGAGTGACACCTGCCAAAAATTAAAAGTAGTGAAAATGAAGTCCAAATTGCATGCCAGTGTATATTGTGTTTATGCATGACTATTGCCCAACACAACATTTACTATTTTCTTTCTTTCTTTCTTTTTGGCTTAGCTTTTCAAGACGAAAGGGCAATGTAAAGTCTGGTTTAAAACTTATAAACCTCAGCCTCAGCCTTAGGTCAATTAAAGAGAAGAGATACAATTACGATAAAAACAGCTTAAGTTTTGGATACCTGTTCTAACAACCTCAGCCACTGCATTCAAGAATCCTGACTCCTTAAAACCTCTCCTCTCCAAGCCATCCTGCACCGATAAATTTTCTCTCATATGAACTAATTAAGAAAGGGACTTTAAATAAATAAATAAAACCACGCCAGAAGCAGCAGCAAAAATTCACCTTTGCCAAATGTAAAACATCTTCTGCAACATGCCGGAGATATCCGTCCCGAAATGGTGTCTTCAGACCAGTCTTTGGGACCTATTCAAAAAAGTTTGCAATTAGAGTTCAAATTCAATCATGCTCGCAATAGAATTCATACAGTTATTCTTTCTTTCTTTCCCTTTGTTTTTGTTGCTAAAGAATTCATATTGTTGCTAAAAAAAATTTTCTACAGTTCGTGATATTAAAGAAGGGGCAACACTGGCATGGTCCACGACCCAGAAAACTGTATACCATGTGCAAAACAGAGGCAGATGACTGACAATAAAAAAAAATGAAAATTATAGAGGAAAGGGACATATATCACTGCCGTATGGCAGCTTACTCAACAGTTGCATCTTTGATGGGTCTCCTGTAAGAATTAAACCAGTGTGGCATGAAATATATTATAATGAAAATGAGTCAAGAAATGAAAACTCTAGCCTAGTATAACGGTAACCGTCCAACACTATACGTTGACACCCTACTGATCACTTCAAGCAAACATCCCTTCATTATCAAGCTTGAACCAACTTTTACAAAGTTGCATTAACCTAAAGTATCAAGCATCATGCCACAAATTTGCTCAGTTTCTTTTCAATAAGCCAAAAGGATCCGTTTACATTACCTTATTCCTCAACATTTGTCTTTCTTCAGGGGTCCAATCAGCTGTCATGTCCAAAACGTTTTGTAGGGAAACCTCGTCATATAACAAACCTACCTGAAAATTGACAGAAACCAAAATGACCTGATCGTTCTGAAAGAAAGTAAGCTAGTATAATAAGATTTCTGTAATTGCAAGCAAGATAGAATTGCTTTGAAGTAGCCAAGGGAAAAAAAGGACCAAATCCATGATACATGTGGAAGTGGAATAATTAGTTGTTTCTTTTATCCACACAAGCAGAGGATTTTCAATGAGTAAGCTTGAAGTTATTACATCTAGGTATGATACAGGTAATCAAAAAAACTAACTGAGCATAAAAAGGTAAAGCTAACTACCCAAAACGCAGGCAAAGCACATAATCTCCTCCAAGGCCCTCCATCGGCACCCCTCATCTCCAAGTATCTCTTAAGCCTGACCTGAAGAAAAGGATCACACATGGAAAAATCAGGCAACGGGAGAGAATAGGTTTTCATGAAATTGACCACACTGCTACTAGCTAACCTCAGGAAATATTGTCGTCAAATGATTTTCCCAATCATTTAGCGTTGGCAGTTCTCCTGGGATACAAGGAAGCTTTCCTGCCAAAAAGTCCTGCATACATATAACAAATACCATGTCAGGCCTTAAAAATTTATGGGTTGAGATGGAAGAAGATCAAAGGAACAGAATGTTGGTACAAAGATGAGCACAGCCACAGAAGAGAAAGCATTAAATTACAAGACTATAAAGGATAGAAGGAAACCCGGAAGGTCATTCCAGTACAGTCAATATACTTCTTTTTCCGATAAACGAAATACATTGGAACATCAAGTGCATAGTCAACATACTGCTCAAACCTGCATAAGAAACAGAACAAAAATGATATTATACCAAACTGACTGGTTTAGTGAGAGATAATCTAAACTTCAAAGAAGAAATTAAAGTGTCCAGAAAGTATAGAAAAATATACCCAAACGAGTCATCAAAAACAAAAGGAAGCATGCCAGTTCGATCCTTGTCAGTATCTGTCCAAATTTGGCTGAACAAGAGGATGGAACAAACACAGATTAGGCTCTTTGTGTTTTTTTTTTTTTTTGGGGGGGGGGGGGTTGTTCGTGGGTGGTAGCAATATTATAACACTATAATGTTAAGAAACCTTCTCATGCTCAGAAATCCATTTGGCTTTCCTTCAGTGAATGGCGAGTTTGCAAACAGAGCAGTTGCTATCTGTTTCATTTACCAAAACTGGTTAGATTCCATAATGTTGGAAAATTTGACAATGGAAACAAAATGACAGAAGTTCCTCACAGGCTGCAAAGCAAGACCAGCTCGGAATTTTCTGATCATGTCTGCTTCTGAATTGAAGTCTAGATTAACCTACAGAAGTAAACACCCAATGGTAAATTGGTCATCACTTTATAATACGGATTTTAAATACCACCAGTATATTTTGAAAAGTAGACAGCCTCGGAGAGTTTAACACACAAATTACCCAAAGAAAAAAAAATGTGAAACTGAAATTACCTGTACGGTGCATGTCCTGAACATCATGTCCAGTCCCAGTGAGCCAACTTTAGGCATGTAGTTTCTCATAATTTCATATCTTCCCTGAGCCAGGTATCTCTGTCAGTATGTGAATAAATAGTCTCCGGAGCAAAAGAAATGATTATTAGAATTGCAGAAGTCTAGGACTTATGGAATTCTGCTTCCAAAATAGTGCATGACCAATGTTTTCTTTAGAACCATCATATTATTCAGCACTCCAAAATTATAAGGTCCAAATAAATAATACACATATATACATACATATATATATATAATCTGAAATTAACAAATCCAATGAAGAGCCAAATTTTTATCAAGTGCCATCCCATTTTTGGCCCTCCATTAACCCGTAACGTACGGAGGGACATCTACATTGTATACTTTAAAAAATGGTCTAAAGTGGAATAAGTAGTACCTTTGGCATCACGGGTATGTCTTTAAGTCCCCATTTAGGCTGGAAACCAATCCCCAGAAATCCAATTCCCATCTCCTCAGCAACAGCTTTAACCTTTAAGATTATGTAGACAATAAGTTAAAAGTAAAACACATATAGAACATTCTGGTATGGGATTCCAAAAGGCAAAGCACATTGCCAAAAAGTTTGGACATGTTGTACTTGAGAGTAAAGATGATGATGGCAACAACGTCCACGATGATAAATACCAGAAACCATGATACATAAGTTTGTACACTCGTCATTATAAAGTAGGATTGTTTTAACTGACCTGATAAAGGTGTGAATTGACTTCAGCGCAAGTTTGATGCAAAGTTTCAAGAGGTGCACCACTAAGCTCAAACTGACCACCTGGCTCCAGTGAAATGCTTTGCTTACCCTGGCCAATATCAATTGATAACTCAAAAATCAAACAGCAATATAGAGCAGTAGTTTGTAAAAGTTGTTTTAATGGTTGCAACAGTTCATTTCTCATACTTAACTTGCAAACACCATCATTTAAATATACAACAAGATAATAAATTTACCGAGAGGAGAAAAGAAAAGCAAAAAGTCAGAAAAAAGCAGCATCTAACCTGTATGAGCCCAATAATATAATCACCTTCCATTACTTTATCCCAATCAAATCTCTCTGCTATCCCATTAAGCAACTCTGATATTTGTTCATATCTCATAGGTCGTAAGGTGCCAAACTCAAAACCAAACTTCTCATGTTCAGTCCCTATTCTGCAACCACAAAATGATCTACTATTTCAAGAAAAGGAAGACAGCTGAAGGACATATAGAGAAAACATGCTCCCTTCCATAGCAGTGATAGAAAAACGTTATAACAGACTGTGACAGACAAAAAGACGAGTTTAACTTATATGAACACTTGCAGAGGAAAATATTGATGCAGCTGCTCCAAGGCCCAGCATATTTATAACAAAGTTTCATTTTGAGACATAACAAAGTTAACTGCAGTGTGTGTGCGTGCGTGCGTGTGTGTGTGTGTTATGAGATAGAGGGAGAGATAGCATCTTACAGTAATAGTATAAGTGGTGAAATGGGTCTTGTTGATTTATGCATAAACTTGGTAATAAACAGACACTAAAGTAAATAGAAATTACGTTTTGTTATAAATTAAAACTTCACCTCCATTTCTCCTTGGGCTTGCATCCAGAGGCTAGGTATGCAATGAGATCCTCTTTTGTTAGTGGCTCTGCAGCAACAGCATCTTCAGTTGGAGGACTTGCAGCGACAATCACATGATGCCCTCGTTTCCGGCCTAACCGTGCACAGTCTAGATGCAAAATATTTGTCTTCTTGGCAGCAAAAGTACATGACAAGGAAGATGCACCAACAAAATTATCCTTCACCCTGGATGCCTCCAAATTGCTTCCGATATTAAAAATGGCATTGTGTCCAGATTTACTCCGTATCACCTCGCTCTGGACGCAGTACGATGAACCTGCCTGCGAAATGAGTGCCATGGATGGCCCTGGGAAGCACAGTCTAACCTCTCAGTGTAACATGTCTGGATGTGTTTTAGACATCCCATTGCAATTCAATAGTTATCTTAGTACTTACCCCATCGATATCTTAAAAACCTATTAGGCATAAGCCTTGCTTTCCAGCAATTAACTTAAAACAGATAGTCCTATTTTTTACTTTTGAGCGATTGATACAACACATACAAGAAGGGACGAAACATATTCTGTCTATTATCAATTAATGGTTGAGACAAAGCTATTTACATAGACCAGTATAACTCCTTTCATCAATGAAGACAGAAAATTGTTAATAATAGTCACATATCAACACCATTACAGGGAATTCTCTATAAAAACCAAAAAAAAAAAAAAAAAAAGTGTTATTTGATTAACAAGAAGCAATAATCCATTCTCATAATGTTGATTGAAAAATCTTGAACAATTATCCACACCAAAAGTTTGAACGACTTTTACTGGTTTGTTTAAACGAACCAACTTCTGTCACAATATGCTAATGTTATGGAACTGAAAAAGGTCAAGCGAACACAACATTAATCAAAAGTTTCCCCACAGAAATAATATCAAGCCTTAATTGGTGGCTTCAATCTATTTCTTTCTAGCTGCTCACAAGAAAAAGACTTCAAGCTCGATTATGATCACACACTCTCTACTCCAGTTTCTCTCTAATTTATACTACATTGAAACTCATGGCAACTTATGTAAGTGTAAGTATATACGAGTGCGTGCTGATTTTTTTGAACAAATTCTCCACGCCAAAAGAAAATTTTCCGTTCCATTTTCTTTGTTCCCAAATTTCTTTTCAAAAATCACTCTATTGCTTTTAGAATTCACATGCGACGTTTCTCTTACCCAAGCTTTATATCATCAGAAGAAAATAAAAATGGCGGAAGTGAAATTTACCGAGAAAGCGAAAAAGGATGAGCGAGATTTCGAACCGAGAAAGAAATTCAGGGGGAGCTGCGAATTAGAATGCGACGACGAAATCGAGAGCTCAGCCGTGAAGTTCGCCGGCAATGGAGCCGAGGTCGCCGGTGCGTGGTGGCACTGCTAGGGCAGAGAAGTGAACGATGGAAGAGAAGAGATGAGGAGTGAAGAGAAAACGAGAGAGCCTAGGGAGCTCGACAAAATTTTCTCAGTGAAAATAGAATCCAGGCTCATCTTTTATAAATTTCTAACCCCCTTTTCGTATATAAATCTAATCTAATCCCTTACATTGTTTTCTTTTGCAAACAAAGCCTTAAATTGTCCCCTTTTTTTAAGGGTGGTGGAGTATTTTTTTTCTTTTTTCTTTTTTTTGAAATTTATAATATCCTAGTAATACATTTTTTTTTTAGATTGGATTAAAATCACAATCACGCATAAAAAAATGTAAAATTGATAAGTCGTTTATTTTACTAGTTCAAATCACAAAATAAATTTTTGTTACAATATTTTTTTCACAGTCACGTGAATTCATTTTTTAATTTAATTTATTACATTATTTTCTTTCACAGTCATATAAATTCATTTTTTTAACTTAAATTCTCAACTCTAACAAGTAAAACAAATGAGACCTGATATAATATAATATAGCTCTAACTTTTTTTTTCCACTCTTGTAGTAGAATAATTATAAATTATCATGTGATATTTTTTTTTGGCTCTATTAATATCGAATGGTATTATTATTATTATTTTTAGGATAACTACAAAATATAATATTAAGTCTTCAGTAGTTTTACGTCTCTAAAAGATTCTTCTCCTTATTTTTATAAACTACAAAGCTATATCCCAAAAATTCTTATTGCCAAGCTCTTTCAGAATATATGCTTGATTTCTTTTCCAGAGGAGAATTTATGCTAATTTAAATACTTATAAACTGATAAACTTTTCAGTTTGATTTGTCATTTTCATCCATTCCCTGCAGTAAATGCACTTTATCTTTATATTGATGTCCACGCATTATTTCAACAACAATTGTTTGTTATCATGATTCATGACAAAAGCATCATTTTCTAAGCCTTGTGATGGTGAGGTATTTGATGATGGCAAGTGCAAAGTGAGTGTTTAAAAATAAATAAATAAATAATTTAGAAAAGGTGGTAAAGTGGTCCTAAAGTCATTTCATTGAGAGCAATATACAAAAGACTGTCAAGAAAACGCATTAAATAATAAGGAGACGTTTGATTTATAGATTAAAATCATGTGATTAGAATTATTTTTTATTTACGTGTATTTTTTATGAGAGAAAACACTGTAATGAATCATGAACTATGATTCAAATCATGGTTTGAATCCTCCTGTGATTAGAATTATTTTTTATTTACGTGTATTTTTTATGAGAGAAAACATTGTAATGAATCATGAACTATGATTCAAATCATGGTTTGAATCCTCAAACCAAACGTGAGATTCATTTTCATTATAAAGTGGAATCTCTATTAATGGATCCTTTACCCAATTCAAGCATTAATTAAACTCAACTAACGTCTTTGAATACAAAAGGTAGAGCATATTGGGTGCGTTTGGTTTTGTTTTTAAAACGTTTTTCAAGGAAGAAAAAATGAAATTGAAAATGAAACAACGTTTATTTAGGAAATGTTTTGAAAACGAAAACAATAAAAATAATTTTTGTGAATGAATTTAAAAAATAGTTGAAAGTTGTTTTCACTTTTCTGTTTTTATTTTCTAATACTTATTAACAATATTATAATATATTAATTAATAATTATAATCAAACATGATTTCATTATTTTATTATACTCAAAACAATATTTAAAAAACCAATCAAACGCAATTTCAGAATGATTCTCAAAACAATCTCATATTTATTTTTTATTAAAAATAAAATTATTTTGAAGCCAATTCTAAACGCACATATTATTTCATAGTCTAATTACTGTGGTATTTTTTTTCATACTGCACCAAGAAAAGTATTAGCAGATGAATGCTATTTTCTTTTCTTTAAAAAAAAAAAAAAATGAGATGACATTTATTGGTGAAACTGTTCTCATCGGAGTCAGAATTTTCTTATAATATGTGGTCATATAAATCAACATTAGTGTCTGTATAGTTTAAAAAAACACAAATAGATGTTTGAGGCTTTGCGCATCTCTTTCGCTGTTCTCATCATCATATCTTGTGACTTTATAATGTGGCGTATTGCAATAAAATAAGTAATTAGCATTTTTTTTTTTTGGCTGAAATAGCATTTCTTTTCTCTTGACCATGTTAATGTATAGTTTTACACGTCACCCAAACGCCATAAAGCAATTCTATTAATTATAAAAAAAAAAAAGGGCAATTCCATTAGAGGAGCTTTCACTAAATAAAATGTTGTAATGAGACCAAATCTGCTAAAAATATCGAGTTTATGGTGTAAATGGTAAAAAATAAATAAATAAATAAGAATTGAAGTGTTATTTATTGAAAAGTTCAAGAATCAATGGCGTCATTTTCTTATTCCTTCTTTTTTCAGTACTTGAAAGAAAGAAAAATATTGGATAGCTACATGTATTATCGTTTTCCATGACAAAGACGATGGCTAATATTTTATGATTTTGTTTGGTGCTAATATTTTATGTTTAAGTCATACGTTAGAATTTATAAGAGATTATTAAAGACAGAGAAACCAAATTAAAGTTGGTTTTGTCCTTTAGGATATCAATATTAAGCATTCCATGTAAGATTTTTATACCAGCTACGACAAATGCCTTGAAAAGCAATTTTTCTCTTTTTTTTGGTGGAAGACTTGAAAAATAATTGATACGTTATAAGAAAAGGCTGGAAACGATACGACTTTAAGAAAACGACAGTGACTAGCTCAACGAATAACACTACAACAGTGCCAACAAAATGACAAACTGAAAGAACGACAACGTTGAAAAAAAAAAAAGACACGGGGACAACAAATTAATACAATACATCGTACACGACACCGTTTCAAGAAAACGACAACAAAAATCAAAATGGAGGACTGCAGCAATAGAACAACATAAATTACGGCGACTTGGAAAACGTCAATACGGAAACAAACTGAACAACACCCCTTGAAAAAAAAAAAAAAAAAAAGAAAGAAACTGAAGAACACCCAAGTTTAAGTAAACGACAATCACTAGCCGAAATAGACGACAGATCTGACAAACGACATAAAATGCATAAAACGACGACAGTAACAGCAACTTTAGTACTTTTAAAAAACGACTGCAATTTGAATTAAGATCGCCACTTCCATAATTTCTTCAAAACACTATTATTCTTTTCTCGATATCAAAGAAAAGAGAGATAAATTCTTTTATGCACTGCTTTTGTTTTTTTTTTTTTTTTCACTTCAGTCAAAGAAGTTTGGTGATCACTCGTCGAAAGCTCTTTATGAGACTGGCTGTATCGAAAATAATAAACACCGGAATTATTACTGAAGTTGCATGGCCGACAATGGAGACAAGTGAAATGTTTGATTTTTGAGTATGTCATAAATAAATTCTCATAAATTAGACAGTTCAAATTTAATCAAAGAAAAAAAAAACTACCCTACCAACGACAACAAGATGAATTTTCAAAAATAAAAAATATAATGTAAAGATTAAAAAAATCTTTGGATATAGCATGATGATAGCTACTGTTGTTTAAGCTCGTTTGGCAGTCATTCAAGAATTCACAAGCTTGAATTTGATGCATGATAATAGTGTTTGTTTAGCTCAGTTGTCGTAGCTTATCTTTCTTCACTGTCATTTTTTCCTTCTTTGTGTCGTGTCTCATCTCGGTCGTTGTATAAAGGCCACGAGCTTTCATTTTGTATCGATCAGCTTTTGCCATCCAAAATTGTACTGATCAACTCCACCGACTGACCCACTCGTGGGCCTTGCACCCACAGGCCACAGCCGCTTCTTCTACCTAAGCACTCAAAACAGTGACACACACAGAAGTATGTCGCACATATAAGCCCGTTCATTTTAGTAAAAAATTTTCAAAAACAGTAACATTTAACAGTAAAAAACTCTCACATAAAGTTATATATCAATTCAAATTAAAAATTCAAATTAGTGAACTGAATGTGCCCTAAATATATATATATATATAGCTGCAATTACGGTCTAAATATATATATATATAGCTGCAATTACGGTCTTTAAGAAGTAAAGCTAGCTAGTTTCTCACGATTTATTCATAAATAGAATCTTAAAAGCAATATTATTATAAGAAAAGAAATGGCAGTTCAGCCCCCATAATCACGAGCCACCCGATGAGTAGACTTACGCTCATGTGCCGTCTAGCCCCCGCGCGCGCGGGGCTCTGGACGTCCACTTCTCCTTCTTCAACACTTCAAACTCCAACGCCAAATTGCTCGATAGACTCGACGGTGATCATGATCATCTATTCAATCTCCGCGGCCTAGACAAGTTCCATGGATTGCCTGTTGGAATATTTGTATGGACTATCACTCAAATATGTCACAAATTAGAGCATGATTTTATGGGCAATTATATTGTAATATGGTTTATGCACAGTATTATAACAAGGGTTATAATGGAATAGATAATTTATTTCTGTTTGGAGCCTTTAGACTCACTCTCTCTAAATATTTAATCTTTGGCCAAATTTTCTCTTTATCCACTTTTTTAGTTAAGGCCCATTTTTGCCCTAGATTGCAGTAAAAAGCTAAAGGGACAAAATTTAGAGTCTGTTCAGTTTGTTGATTCGAGTTGAGATATGACTTTATGTAAAAAAAATTTACTGTAGTAAAAAAATTAGATGTGACTGTTTCTGAGAGCTTTTTACTGTAAAAAAGTTTTAAATGTACGTATTTATTGAGAATAAGTGATGTACGTAGGAGTCGTCTGGTATTAAGTTTTGTCGTTTTGTTTAAGAGACTTGTGTTTTTAGGATGTGATGCAAATGTTGAGGTAATGATGATTCGTTCGAATGGTTGTTATTTGGTTTGAATTGTAAAATCTAAATTGTGGTGAATTGATATGCGATTCGAATATATAAAAAAAAATACTTGTTCATCTAATGAATATATAGATGAATATTTGTTTCTCCATTATGAATATATACAAAAAAAATATTTAAATTTTAAAACAAAGTAGTTATGAAATTTTTAAGTTTGAAGATGGAGGGAGAGAAAAAATAAAAAATAATTGTGTTTGAAGTGTTATCAACAATGTAGATTGTAGAGTAGCATGAATTCCAAAATTAATCATTTGAACCGGAGTTGATGATTTGAATGCTTCCTTTTTATTTATAAAACAAAGACTAGAAATTGTTTAGTTCAAATAACTCAACAAAAATGGGGTTTGGATTTGGCTTTTGTCGTTTGTTATCATCGTTTTGTTTATGTTATTGTCGTACGTTCATGTTGCTTGATTTTAGCCTCTCTTGTTTGATGGAAAGGGGCAGACCTGACTTGGTAATGAAATCCATGTGAGATTTGGCTCGAAAAATACCAAATTCTCTTAGTTTTCAATTCAGATTTTGAGTTCTTTAGACTTACTACCTCAAGAAATTAATTGGCCAAAGTGACAGCTCTAAAAAGTAAAATTAAAAGAAATGCAGGTATGTAAACTTCAAAGGCATTTTAATTATTATCCTGGAATATATCCAGATCAACAACGTGGGCATTTTAAAAACTCAAATAATAGCCTGACAGGCAAAAATCAGCTTCATCTGAAAATGAATGCAAGAAACTCACATCGCGTCTGTCTGCGTCTTTATTGGTTTAATATATAAAACACGACACCTATTGTCCGTTTAGTTTATTAATTCGAGTTAAGATGTGACTTTGTGTTAAAATTTTTTATTGTAATAAAAAAATTAAATGTGATTATTTATGAAAATTTTTTATTGTAACAAAACTCAAATCGGTAAACTTCCCTAAAAAGAAATGGCACTTATTGTTTAAACTAAAAAGAGAAATGATACTCTTCACAAAAATTCATTAACTCGAATTTCACGAAACGCACGAAACTAAAGGGAACTCACGTGCACTTCATTTTTTAAGAAAAAATAAAATGAAAAAAACTGAATAAAAATAATATGAGAATTCTTCTTCCTCAGGCTTCTCTAGAGGCCGGCCGGCTAGAGGGAAGAAATAACTGGGTTAGAACGCTAGAGAACGTGGTGAGGACCGGGAGAAACTGTGGCAGCGGCGGCAATGGCGATGGCGGCGACGGCACCACTAAAAGAAAGAAAGAATAAAGAACGTGGTGAGGATAGACCGGGAGAACCTTCGGTGGCGACGGCAACGTCAACGGCGACAATGCCGCTGTTAAAAGAAAGTAAAAAATATTGTTTTGGGTTCATTGAAACAAAACACAGGAATAAAGAAAAGCCGAAGAACACCAAAACAAAACAACTAGGAGTTGGGAAGGAAGAAACACCATAAATGATATATCCCTTGGGTTTTTGTCTTCCTTTGGGGCGTTGGGCCGTCGAACGAATTCTGCCTTGCCAAAAAAAAAAAAAGCCCCTAAATCTAGCATACCGCACTATTGATTTGGTAGTATCTTACGTGCCGCCGATAAAATTTAACACGTAGCGGATGCTTTTTAAAGAAAAAAAGGAGTCCATCATAAATCATTCTACCAAAGCTTACCATATTGGAGATAGCAACAAATATAGTTTGAAACTTGAATGTTCAGAACATATATATTGTAAACCAGATACATACACGATAACAGTGTAGTAGTCTAATGGAGACCACAAGTAATCTGTTCCTATTTTTTTTTCCCACTTTTTCCCCCCTCTTATACACAGCATTGTCAATATATATAGCTACTATCATCAAGAATCAGTCATGAATAAACAACTGTACATTTCCCATGGTTACCAGAAATCATCATCCACGGCTGCCAAAGTTGAGGAAGATGGATCATCATATTCTTCCTCCATTTCCAATTCCGGCTCCAGGGAACCAAATTCCGCCGATTCAATATCAGCAAGATTCTTCAAGTCGACTACGGAGAGTTCATCCAGTCTTCTCACCACCAAGTCTGCAGCCCCAAGTTCATACACCGGATGCTTGCTGGCAACAGCCACACACTTCATCCGAGCATCGTGGGCAGCCTCCACGGTTTGGTTTGAGTTTCCAAACACAATGCAGCGCTCGGGGATGAACTTAAGAAGCTGTGCAGCGTAGACAAACATTTCTGGATCAGGCTTCCCCCTGTGAACATCCTCTGCAGCCACAATTACGTTGAAGTATTCTTCAATACCAATCGATCCAATCGCAGTTTCAAGCGTCTTTCTAGGGCGTGTGGAGACCAATGCCATTGGAATATTGTAATGCATCAACACATTGACAAACTCTTTTGACCCTGCTCGCAATCTGTATATCCCACCTTGCAAAGCTTGGTAAATCTCTTCCCTTCTGGCAGCCATTCTTCTCAACTGTGCAGGGTCTCTAGACCAGCACAGCACCTCAGAGATGGCCTGCTCGTTCTTCATCCCTTCTATTCTTCGAAGGATGAAAGCCAGTGGGGGTGATTTCCCTTCTTCTTCAGCGAGGACCAGCCACGCCTGCTTCTCGAGATCGGGGTTGTCATCTATCAAAACTCCTTCCCACTCAAATATTGCACCTAACCAACCACAACCCATCCTTTCTTGTCTAAGCAATGGATTTTGCAGTGAAGGGTTATCAGCCTTATTCTCCGGTGGCCACAAACCCGGCTTTCCTTCTATGCCAGTATCAATCTGATAGTTCCAATCCTGGGGAATCTTCCTATCTTCCTTGAAGGAATACGCCTCTTTTGTCAACTCCAATGCAAGAGCCTTAATTGATGAAACTGCCAAGCGATCGTTTTTCAGCCTTGGCAAAGGAGGGGACACAACGACAATCTTTTTACCAGTGAATTCCGATGGCATGACCCGAACATTATTCGGAGATTTTCGCTTGTTGGAGACATCTTTTACCAAAGTGCCTCCGCAAATCGGTCGGTGACCGAAAAGTGATGTTGCAGCCAAAGATTCAACCATTTTTCACCAAGTTTTCTTCACAAAGCTCAATCCAACTAGAACAACCAACAATTGAACTCTCCCACAAACTAAAAACTCTAATCAAAACTAGACCCAATTTTGACAACTAAATACCGTTCCCAAACTTAGGATTTAACACTAAAATACGAATATTATATCTATATGGGGGCAAAGGAGTCCTTTTTCTTTCACAAAACTTCAACCCAACTTATTATTTATTCTTTAGCACCACGAAAGGGAAAAGAACAGAACTTTTTTTTTTTTTTTTCAAAAACAATCCTAAAGAACCGCCATAAACAATCCCTTCAAGCAAAACCTAAGTATCAATTATTAATAATCCCAACTCCAAAGCCCCAAATTATCATTCAACACCCTATAAGCTCAAAACGCCATAAAAATCCAGCCTTGGAGAAATTGCACAAACGATAATTATATATATACACAGCTAAACAACCCCAAATCTCAACTAAACCAACGCCAATTAAGCTAAATTTAATCAGATTTCGCACCAACTAACCCTAACTAGACCGAAACTGAATATATACAAAAACGAAAAGATGGAAAAAGAAAAACGCAATAAAAAATCTGAAAATAAAAAAAAATAAAAAAAGAAGAAGAAGAAGATTGACGAAAACCTGGAAGCGTTTTGAGGAAGATTATGGAAGGCTGAAATATCAGAAAGTGGAGAGAGAATTTAGGGAGAGAGAAGCAAAGGACTAGATAGATGAATCTCCCTCTCTCCTTTCTTTTTTTTTCTTTCTTTCAAGTTTTATTTTGTTTTTGTGGCTTATAAATTGAGAGAGAGGAGGATTTTAGAAGACGGGTCGTGACGGCGAAGCTCACCAACTGAGATGACACGTGTCGTGATGAGGAATCGTTATTTTCGAGGGTTGTGGTGACGGATGAGTGAGGATAAGTTTGCCGTTTGGTTTAGGGGTAATTTTAGAATTTTGCCCCGGAATTAAGTAAATATTCACGGTACGGCCATTATGTATCTTGTGCGGAAGATTCTTGACATTGGAAAAAGGAGTTATTTTCTATTTTCGTAAGGACGCGTCTTTGCTTTCATAAAATGAGTTTGTACTTTATCCTTTTGCTTCCTTTTATGGACCGTTAATTTTCATTTATTTATTTGTGTTAAAAAAGAGGACTAAAATTAGAAAAAGAATTCAGTCAGAAATGGCTGACTCATTGGCTGCAAAATAAGGAAGTTTTTTCCATTAAGAAGCAAGAAAAAAGTAAGAACACCTAGAACAAGACAAATAGGCCGAGTATACTTAGAATTATCTACTCTAGAAGGAGATACATATATATTTTTGTCAAGTGGGCATAAAGTATTATCAAATTTATTAAGGGCATAATTGAAATTTTTCTTTAATTTTTATGTGGGTTTTCCTTGTTCATTTTACCAATTTGAGTTTTTAATTTTAATTTTACTACAGTTAAAAGCTCTTACAAAAAGTTACATCTAACTTTTTCTACTATAATGAAAAGCTCTCACATATAACACATCTTTTAACTTTTTTCTTTTCAAAATAAAATTTTACTTAATTAAAAAAATATATAAATTTTTAAAAATTTCCAACTTAATAAAAACTAGATTCAAAATCTCATCGAGAGTATGGCTTAATTTGGTATTACTTTTCCCTCCCAAAATTAGCTTCTGCTTATAGTAAAAGCTGATTTTAGTATTTAGTAAATCTCTTTAAAAGTGCTTTTTGAAGAATTTTTTAAGAATTTACAGCCAAAATCAGAAGCAGTCTAAAGAGAACTTTAACTTTTAGATTGTTCGGGAATCAACAAAGTACAATTAATGAAACTTTTATAATACCCTTAATAAAAATGAAAATTTACAATTTTTCCAATATGAAATTCAGACTCGTAATATAATATAATATAATAATAATATTGTAATAAATAATATCATAATTATATTAATAACTCTAATATTATTATTTTATCATATAATATGATATTATAATAATATTA